GAGTACTATTCAAGGGTAAGCAATAATTTTGTGTTTAATAATGATTTTTAAAAATTAAGCTAATCACAATTTATTATTTTAAACGCAATTTATCCGATTCAGCAGTGCGCATGATAGGTTATTTCCCTTGTTAACGCACATTGTCTTTGCTCCACAATAATAATAATAATAACAATAATAATAATAATAATAATAATAAAAAGAATAATAATAATAATAAAAATAATAATGATAAATAATAATGGACTTCTGGGTATTTCCAACTGTGAAGTCGGCACTTAAGCGACGGAAGTTCGATTCCTTCCAGGAACTCTCGTTTGCAACGCAAGTGGTGGCTGATTTCGACCAGGAGTGGTACAGGGCGGTGTACGACCAGTGGATATATCGACACCATAGGTGTATTGAGTTAGGCGGCGACTATGTTGAGAAAAACTGACATTTGACGCCACGCATTTATTAACAACTAGCGACGCCACCGGAATGACGTCGTAACGTCGGAATGGACTGCCCCGCACCCGCTACCCCTTGTCTCATTACCCTGCCCACAGACACTGATCCAGTTGCCGGACAACTTTGAAATTTTTTGTACTAATGCAATAAAGTTGCATTTTGTTCATGTTAATTTTGTTTGTTTTTGAGTTACAGCAAAAGTCCACGTAATTCTGGGACACCCCTCGTATTTATCATTATTCTTGTCTTTACTTTTCACTGTAGAAGTTTTTGTGCTTGTAAAAACCTATTCAGGTTGGTACCAGTGTTCAGCCAAAAAAAAATTAATTTTTTTGGCTATACACAACATGCACAAGTCCCAAAGGCTTGCCATTTTCTGGCTCTATGTTCTTTGACTTGCTGTGAATATAAAACAATCATGAAAAAAAAAAACTGTTACTCTGTTAGTTACTAGCTGTTTGTTTGGTTGGTTTTACAGCACACCAAAACATATCTATATAGGTCATATGGTGCCAAAACCGGAAAATTACTTCTGGTTAACCTCTGGATTTACAAATTTAAAGAAACAGGTGATCAATAACTACTGATTCAGTCTTATTTTGAATTTGGCATGTAAATAAAACATTGCAAGGTTTTTTGTAAACATTTAAACATTTCATATGTTTTACATAGTGATACAAAAAGTAAATTGTGCTGTATTTAACATGTTTCATTTATTTATGAAACATTTAATATATTTTTCATAAGTTTTTTCTTCATTTTAACTTTTCTAACTTTATTCAACCACCTTGAAACCAACATCATTAATGTCTTAACTCTTTTATCTGTTTAAACACAGGGAACTGTTGGCCTGAAAGAATGTAAACAAATTTGGAAAACGAAATCAAATGAGATATATATTAAAAGTTTCAGAAATAAATCATGCAAATTACAGCACAATTAACTGCAGTTACTGTAAATTTATCATCATATTTAAGCTACACAACTAACAGAGTATAGATTGCATATTTTGTCAAATTATAATTAGGTTATTCTTTTAGCATGTATATGTATATGCTATGTGCAGACATCATATAACATGTACGTTTTATTTTTGTTATCTTACAAGAAAATATTCTAAACTTTCACAAAAAATTTAGCATGAATAAAAAAAGTGCCACTTTGGTTCAAAGGTAAGCACCAACCCATTTTTTTTCTTGAAAATCTTAACTAATTTAATATTGCTATCAACAAAGATATAATATTATCTATCTATCTCCCAATATTGCCAACTCTTTGCAGGGACATAGACATGTTGGAGGATCAAAAATATAAAAAAAATGATGCATGCTTATCAAAACCAAATTTCATATGACTTATTTATGTTTGAATTCCCTTTTTGTGTGATAAAATATATGTATCTTATAGTTATTTGATTTCATTAGTAAATTATGCAAGATAGTCTTGATTCTAAGCCTCTTATTAATCAATGGTGACAATATGGTTGAAGTGACTAATTTTTACATCATATATATTTAACAAATTCATAAACATAAGTTTGTACATATCATTGTGTAGAGTATAAGAGGGTATGGGAAGGTAAGGGTAAGTGGAGGGGGGAAGAGAGAGAGAAGAAAATGAACGATTTGATAACCACAAGACGTTGCTGTCTCAAAAATTATTGTAAACTCTCAAGGTAACTTAAAGGTAATATAATATGTATATAAAGATCTCAAGTGTCTATAAGTTATGATAAGATTCTCAACTCTGTATTTAGGGAACATTCTGTTAACAAACCCTGTATGTGCACATCCAAATACCCTATTGATCCTAAGATGAAAGTATGAATTGGAACATCTAAATACTTGTGTGATTTGTAACATCCTTGTAACACATCTGAACATCAATATTCTAAGTTTTTGGAACATCTAATTTAATTTTCATTGAACATCTCAACTGCCTTACATTGGGAACATCTTATTTGCATGTGATGGAACATCTAACTTTTATAATTATGATGGAACATCAAATTTGCATGTGATGGAAGATCCAATTTATATATGAAGGAACATTTATAAATTCGCATGTGATGGAACATCTAACTGATATATGATGGGACATCCAATTCACATGTGATGGAGCATCTATCTTCTATAATTATGATGGAACATCTTATTTACATATGATGATCCTTATCAGTTAACTGTCATGGAACATCTTAACAATATGCTTTAGAACTATCTATGTCCATACAATATACATCATATCTTTTGGACCATCTTAATACAATATTGTATTTATCAGTACAATATATATAATCAAATATGTTTATCACATGATATCATTATCCATGTATAATCTCTGATATGTCATCATTAACAAATGTATGGAACATCTATATAATGTCATAAGTACATCTAAATACATGTACATGTTTATGAACATCAAAAGTTTATAACAATACATGTTTCTCATACATGTTAACATTGTTCATAATAATAACATATCTGTAAATTTTATGCTTATCTTTCTGTGTAAAGATTTCATTCTTTGACACTGTTATAAAACACTTTACAGTGAACTTGTTCTTTACATAACATGTTTTTACAATCAAAACAAGATAGAAAACACACTTATGAGCAGGAGTTCATGAGCATACTCTGCTCTTACAGGAACTCTAAGTGTGAGATAAAAATAGAAATCATACAAAACATAGCACTTTTAAGTGTACAGGTTAAATGTTATTACCTGTTGACAGGGTAAATATTACTACCTGTTTACATAGAGATATGTTTTCAACATCATTAACAACTATAATATAATGAAAGTAGTATGGTAAACCAAATTGTACTATGTTTAACAGTATGAAAAAAAACTGATTATACTACAGTTGCATAACATAATATATCTTAACAAAACTAAGATATCATTATTTACACATTTATAAACCTGTAGTCTTCGGATTTCTTCATTATTCACTTTTCTTCACCTCTACAACATAGCCCCTTTGTTGAACTAGGATCTTTTACAGCTTGTATCTGTGATTGAAAATAGTTCCATTTTTTGTCAGAACGCCAGACAGCATGAGGTATAATTTGCTTTTAGTCTTTTAGTCTATCTAGAACTCTTTCTGCTCACCACACATTATTCGGTTTCAACTGTTCAAAAACTTATGTAACTGTCGAAACACCAAATATACGTCATTGAATGAACGGTAAATTCTATTTAAGAAAGCTTGTAAGCTAGACTCATCACAAGCAACAAAAATAAGCTAATGTTAACATTGTGTTGTAAAAGAAGCCTTTAGTAAAGGATACGTGTATGCCATTTAATCTGCACAGTTATCATAAGAATTGACTTCTTCATATGTCATACTAAACTTTCGTCTGCATGCTACATTCTGACTGTGCCCAATGTAATCTCAGTTCCCTGCCTTGAATTTTTTCAAAATTTATGTAAACTTTTCCGACTGTTTCCTTGTGTATTACTAAATTTGTAAAGTATGTAAACCATTTTCCTGCATTTCAATTGTCCCTACAATTTCCTGACTTAATGTAGTACCACAATATGTTAGACTCCTGACTGAATGCAGTACCACAGTATGTTAGACTCCTGACTGTAGTACCACAGTATGTTAGACACCGACTGAATGCAGTACCACAATATGTTAAACTCCTGACTGAATGCGGTACCACAATATGTTAGACTCCTGACTGAATGCGGTACCACAATATGTTAGAATCCTGACTGAATGCAGTACCACAATATGTTAGACTCCTGACTGAATGCAGTACCACAATATGTTAAACTCCTGACTGAATGCAGTACCACAATATGTTAGAATCCTGACTGAATGCAGTACCACAATATGTTAGACTCCTGACTGAATGCAGTACCACAGTATGTTAGACACCAACTGAATGCAGTACCACAATATGTTAAACTCCTGACTGAATGCAGAACCACAATATGTTAAACTCCTGACTGAATGCGGTACCACAATATGTTAGAATCCTGACTGAATGCAGTACCACAATATGTTAGACTCGTGACTGAATGCAGTACCACAATATGTTAGACTCCTGACTGAATGCAGTACCACAGTATGTTAGACACCAACTGAATGCAGTACCACAATATGAAAGACTCCTGACTGAATGCAGTACCACAATATGTTAAACTCCTGGCTGAAGGCAGTACTACACTATGTTAAACTCCTGGCTGAATGCAGTACCACAATATGTTAGACTCCTGACTGAATGCAGTACCACAATATGTTAGACTCCTGATTGAATGCAGTACCACAATATTTTAGACTCCTGACTGAATGCAGTACCACAATATGTTAAACTCCTGACTGAATGCAGTACCACAATATGTTAAACACCTGACTGAATGCAGTACACAATATGTTAAACTCCTGGCTGAATGCAGTACCACAGTATGTAAGACTCCTGACTGAATGCAGTACCACAATATGTTAAACTCCTGGCTGAATGCAGTACCACAATATGTTAGACTCCTGGCTGAATGCAGTACCACAATATGTTAAACTCCTGGCTGAAGGCAGTACTACAATATGTTAAACTCCTGACTGAATGCAGTACCACAATATGTTAGACTCCTGACTGAATGCAGTACCACAATATGTTAGACTCCTGGCTGAATGCAGTACCACAATATGTTAGACTCCTGACTGAATGCAGTACCACAATATGTTAGACTCCTGACTGAATGCAGTACCACAATATGTTAGACTCCTGACTGAATGCAGTACCACAATATGTTAAACTCCGGAATAAATGCAGTACCACAATATGTTAAACTCCTGACTGAATGCAGTACCACAATACGTTAAACTCCTGACTGAATGTAGTACCACAATATGTTAAACCTTGGAAATGTTTCCTGTTAGAATGCAGTAGCATAAATAAAATGTTTCAACTGTCCCATGACTGAATGCATTATCACAATATGTTCAACATTTCAACTGTTTCCTGGCTTAATGTAGTACCATATGTTTCCTGGCTGAATGCAGTATCAAAATATGTTAAACTTTCTAATTAATTCATGACTGTATGCAGTACCACAATATGTAAAACATTCCAACTATTTCCTGACTGAATGCAGTACCACAATGCCTAAAATTTTCCAACTGTCTCCTGGCAAAATATAGTACCACAATTTGTTACGCCTTCAAACTGTTTCCTGACTGAACACTGTACTACAATTTTATCATGTTTCAAATGTTTCCTGGCTGAATGCAGTAAAACTAGTATCTAAAAGTTTTACGTATGTCTGGTCTCTGTAATTTTTATATTTTTTGCATTACTGTATAAAATATCACATTTTCTTACAGTATTTTCAAATATTTATACTATATCTTCAAGTTCTTAACTATTTCAAAACTCAGACAATTATAAAGCATTTTTAGTCAAATTCATACTTTCTAACAATTCATTATATTTTGCTTTAATTCTTATCCTTTGTCTCCAATTCCTTTAAATATGATTTTTACTGATATTGTTAACATATAAAGATCACTTTTAATATTCTTCAAAAGAACGAAGCAGCTATCCATTTCATTTGGTAACTGCTGAGCATTTCCACAACACTTTCATCTGTAAATGTCCTGTCAAATTTCTTAATCCATTTAACAAACATGACAGTTCATCATTTACAATGAATTAACTTCTTCTTTATCCTATATCCTATCTGTATTTGGAAACCTTCTACTGTCATCATCAAACGTAATTATCTGGTATTGCAACAGCATTACAATAGTTCATATCAACCATAAACCTGAAAGTATAATGCAATGATGGCATATAATTATTGTATTAACCATGAACCTAAAATGTAATTCAAGTTGGCATATAATTACTATGTTAAGCATAAACCTAAAATGTAATTCAAGTTGGCATATAATTACTATATTAACCATAAACCTAAAATGTAATTAAAGTTGACATATAATTACTATATTAACCATAAACCTAAAATCATTAATGTAATTCAAGTTGGCATACAATTACTCTTTAACCATAACCCTAAAATGTAAATGAAGATGGGATATGATTACTATATTAACCATAAACAAGAACTGTAATTCAAGTTGGCATATAATTACTATATTAACCATGAACCTAAAATGTAATGTTGATATATAATTACTGTATCAACCATAAATCTAAAATGTAATTTAAGTTGGCATATATTATTACTACATAATCTATAAACCTAAAATGTACTTCATGCTGACATAAATTTACTATCTCAACCATAAACATGAAAATGCATTTCATATTGCCATAAATTTACTAGTACATGTATATGAAACAGAAGTACCTGCCTAAAATACAGTTTTCACATTTTTTTTCATTTTACATTATTTTTTATTATCATTTTTATGGGGCAAAAATTATCAATTTTTCAATAAAATTAGACATCAGTTACCTGAAACTTTTGTTGAGGAAAGCAGCAGCCTCTGCTGGACTACTGAATTGTACCACTATACTTTTTTCTTCTGCTTTATAGTTGAACACCTGACAAAATGTAAAAATATTTAAAGGTTGTGTGTTATCATTATTCCCTTTTATTTATCATTTTTCCCTTTTGAAACTTTCTACCAATTGGATTTTCTGTTATGCTACACTTTATCAGATTTATTAGTGAATTCTAAGTTTTAATGATGAACAATAACAATGACACTGTAGCGATCATAAAAGCTCTACTTTTACTTCAAAACCGACATGCTAAAAATAAACAAGGACATCTGTTTACAGATGGACAGCCCGATACCTAGACATGGCACTTTTGTTTTGTTTATGTTTTATATGGTTAAGCGATTGCACCCATTCTCTGTTTAAACAGATGGATGTACAAGAGCAAACCTATAAAATCTCTAATAACAGTTGTTTTAATGCTATTTCTCTTTAATACTTTCAACAGACTAAGCAATAAAGGAAATACTCATGCAGTATTTCTTTACCAGTGCAACAAAATTCTTAAATCACTTTCATAAGTTTTCCCATAAAATCAATGAAACCAAATAAAAGTACAAAAATATTGTCAGATTCTCAAGACTGCTCTTGTTTCACTTACCTTAGTTTTACCATACTCTGAACATCGTTTGCTTATCTTTCCCAGATCAACTTTGACTGGTAAATCTTTAATTAATACTGAAGATGACTGTTTAGAATCCAGTACAATCCTCTGAAAAATAAGAACAGACATTATCATTTTTCTCTGATTAGGTCCTTCACACAACACTTGAGTCATATACGCACTTTATATTCACATGATCATTATTTTGTGGGAAAAAAAACCTCTTCCTGCATTATTCTGCAGTTCATGAATTTGGGACAACATGGTGAAAAGTTTAAAGTTATCTTAATAACGCAATACAGCAGGGAACTGAAAACTGTAAATTCTATACCCTTCCAAACTTGTTCATGGTAAATATTCTTTAAATGCTATCTTGTTACACTGATTGAATGACAATGACTTTTTAACTTATGATTGAAAACTGAAGTGCCCTTCTATACATTATTCTATGCTTATGTAGGCAGCAACAAACCTTCTGTTCGCTGGTTTGATACATTCAGCTTAAAAGGACTCCACGGAGGTTTTTTAACATGATGGGACTGGAAATATTTGCGATATTTGTGTACCATATGATGTAGGTCAGAACCAGTAACTTGTGTGCAAATTTTCAGACCAATCTCACACCCAGTTTTCTCAGAATTAATCTTTTTTTATGGTGCAAAATGGCACAAAAATGAAAAGTATTGCAACACTTTTCACTCAAATCCGGATGAGAATCTCACAAAACAAGAGCTGTCCGTAAGACAGCGCGCTCGACTTTTTTATTGCTTGCCAATAAAAAAAGTTTTTGCAGTAAAAGGCAATACAAGAATCTCTGTATTTTTAAAGTGAACAATGGCCATGAGCATTAAGATATTTAGTGAAGAATTATTTTATTATGACATAATTTATGGTAAAGTGAACAAGTGGATAGGAATGAATTTTTTTAGATTTTTTAAGTTTTTTAGTGCTTGCCTATAATACAAAACATTGACAGTTAAGGGCCATAATTAAAATAAAATCTTTGACAGAATTACCTTCTCCTGGACATGTTTGGGAATCATGATTGTAAACAAGTATTCCAACTTTCAAATTAATATCTCAAACAGTTCAGTCAAAAAGTGGACTGGTACTAAAAACTTAACCAAGATTCTAAGTCGATAAAAGGCCTTAATTTTTAAAACAAATCCTTGACAGAGTTACCTTCTCTTGCGTACAGATGGGGGTAATGATGTGAAATAGCATTAAAAGTTTCAAAGCAATATCTCAAAGGGTTAAGGCAATAAGTGGATTTTACCCATATTCAATGTATTTTCTAAGTCAAAAAGGGCATAATTCTGTCAAAAACCTTGACAGAGTTATGTCCTCTTGTCTGTTGATGAAGGTCGTGATGGTAAACAAGTATGGTCAGTTTCAAAGCAATACCTCCAATGGTTTTGAAATAAAGTGAGGTGGTTACAAAAAACTTAACCAAGCTCAATACACTTTCTAAGTCAAAAAAGGGCCATAATTCTGTCAAAAACCTTGACAGAGTTATGTACTCTTGTCTGTAGATGGAGGTTATGATGGTGAACAAGTATGGTAAGTTTCAAAGCCATACTTGTAATACTTCTGAAATAAAGTGGGGTGGTACGAAAAACTTAACCAAGGTGTGACGCCAACGCTAACGCCGACGCCGACGCCGACGCCGGGGCGAGTAGGATAGCTCCCCTTTTCATAGAAAAGTCGAGCTAAAAATCAATATTGAATTTAATTCGGAGTAAATGTCTTTATTTTCCTTTGCAGATTTTTCTATTAAAGTATTTCACTTGATACATGTAATCATTTAAAATTATATATATTTAGGCAGTTTGACCTCAGTGGAGCTCCTTTAACTTTACCGTTGTCAAGATTCTAACTTCCAGTAGTGCGGGACAAGATGTTACAGAAACAAGTTCTCCTTTGTATCACTAAGAAAAATTTATCAACAAATATTAATGTGCAGCTTTTACGCCTCTACTAAAATGGAGCAGCCCAGCCGCGCATATAGATTTTGATGAGATATTTGCATTACATACATAGCTAATTGTTGGCATTATGCTTTTCAGTGACTCACGTAATATAATTTGTATCAAACATACAGTCATTAAATAACCTCTATCTATAATTGACAAAAAAAAACCTACCCTTTGTGGTGAAAAAACTTCTTTTTTCTCCATGACTTTCCTCTCTGGAGTTACCTGTGACGATGCCCCCATACTATTCATCCCCACCACTTGACGGGATCCCATTGATAGTGGTAATACTGTCCTGTTTCCGGAACTTTCAGTTCCAAATTGACTGTCATAACTTTCATAATCAATATTCTCATGTAGTTCTACTTGTTGTAATTGTACAATATTACTTTGTTTTGGCACACCACGACCTTTGACATTTCCACGACCTCGGCCAACTTGATGAGAAGACATTGTCGGTTGACTTTGACCTAAAACACTAATGGGTTGTCCTTGAGGTCTTATACCTTGACCTCTGTTCACATTTTGACCTCTATTTGACATATGACCTCTATTTGATATATGACCTCTATTCATACCTCTTTTAGGTATATTTGTATTAAACTGTTGCTGTTGAACACCCTGCTGTTGGTTATGCATATGTCCTTGGCCTTCATAACCTTGCATATGCATATGTTGACCTTGATTATACTGTTGACCTTTACCTTGCAATTGATGACCTTGAAAATGCTGTACTTGACTAGGATTGTTTTGATTCACACCTGAAGATTCATTACCACTGGCTGGTGATTTCACATCTGCTAAAGTTTTCCCTTAAAATAAGAAAACGAAGAAAACTAAAGTTAACAGTATGAGTAGATGTGAAATAAAAATACAAAACTTTTATTTATTTGGTTTTGCATAAAAAATTTATTACATGCTAAATTATGAAGCAGACTTGGACTCATTTAAACACTCTCAAATCTGTTTCCTTCTGCTAACCAATATTGGTTTCATATAAAGAAACATGGAATTGACCCTCACAGGGCTGAAGCTTATGATTCCTTGGTTGTGGCACCTCACTCTTTAACAAGGCAATATTTGTCCTTAACTAAGACATCTCTCTCCTTACTATTATTAATTGGCCAGATTTTGAAGCCACTTTAGTTCCAGTCCTGCAACTGAATGTTATAGTACAACACTCCTTTTAAATATAACCTTTAAAGTTAACATAACAAATTTGCCCATGAATCTTGGGATGTTCGATAGACTTTAATATTGCAATTTTCATATTCCTTATGGACTTTCTAAAGAAGTTGGAATAATGAATGTTTTATACCTTCTTGTGCCAGCTTGACGACTAGATTTTGTCTTCGTTTGCTAGCGAGCAAAAGTCTTTTGGCCTCTTTGGCTTTAAGTATAAGGTCTCTGCGACGTTTCTGTTCCTCCAATGCTTTTTTCAATGCCGTATCAGCATCCATTTCCTATGTTAGTATTACATATTTCATTTAAAAGAAAATACATGTAGAATAAAACATAATGATCCAATCTTTCAAATCTTTTCAACTTATCAATGGCCATAACTTTGTTGTTAAATGAAATTGAATCGAAGTTCAAAACATATACTCAAAATCACTAATTCCGCATCATCACTTAGTTCACGGAGATGGCATATTTCCATGTGAGCAGTGTTAAAATTTGTCAAAATTGATATAATTTATTCATAAACCTAACATTGCCTAAACAACAAAGTTTTTGTGCAAAATATTTTCAAATCTCTAGATTTTTACATAAAACAGAACAACATTTTACAAATTTCTGCAAAAAGCTACAATAGTCAATAAAATGTTTGTGTACATTGGAAACAATCATCATTTTCTAAATGTTCTTGTTTGTTGAAAAAATAAATTTTGAGTCACAAAGTAAAATTGTTTTGATATTTAAAATTGAGCAGTATACCATGTAGAAATTTTAACTGAAACATGAAAAAACTATAGAGTAACACCATTTACCGCAATTTAAATGATGACATTATTCAAAATGGCTGACACATGGTCTACATCTGGCCCATTTCAACTAATTTTGATTGAATATATTGTTGTTTCCTTGTGTCATATAGTATAAAAATGCCTAATGTTACAGTATATGACAGTTTTTGGTACCATAGGTTCATTGATTGTTTTCTTTTCTTTTTTAAAGTGTTAAGTACCGTAAACTAAGAGGAGCACAGTATTTATTTCATACCCTAAATGGTACCAAATAAAACTTTGCTGTTTTTCTTAACATTGATTTTGATACATTTTGGTCATATCTTGGTAGCCAGTCCCCTTTATCTGCATTTCTGGAGAATTAACCAATAATTAAAAATTTTTCTTTAAGTGACTGACTACTAACCCTACATGATTTCTGAATCAGGGTTGAGAGAAAAATGATAATTAGACTCAATGTCCGAGATCAATTGTCATGGAGAAATAATGCTGTGTCTGAGGATCAAACCTGTGACCTCTTAGATTACAAATCAGATGCTGCCTATTGAGCTGCGCAGACAGACTGTAAAATTTAGGGATGATACAAGGATTACTACTTGCATGATACATGCATCATAGACACACTGATGTTTTCAGATCTGGCAATGGTTTGAGAGGTATAACTAAGCTTAATGTGAAACACAAAGTATTATACAACAAATCTGGATAAAATTAAAGCATGCATAACCTTTACAAATGAAAGAATATCCAGATACTACAAAGTTGCCAAAAATTAATCTTGAACAGAACTTATTTATCACCTGTTTTATCTAACATAATATAACATAAATTTTATTTAGCATTAAACATATTGTACAATGTTAATAGCCAACATGAAAAAGGTTAATAATGGTATACACAGTGAGAATAACGGTTAGTATGTTTCCAGAATAAACTTTTCAATTACCTCCTCAGCTTCAGTTTTAATTTCTTCTTTGACAGTTATATTACTTCCTAATCTTTCTATTTTAATCGTCTTAGCAGGCGAGACTTCCTCAGATTCCTTGGGAGGGTCCCCTGATGGTCGTTTCTGTGCCCTTGATATTATAACTTTTTTGTTGACGAGATTTGCTTCGTTCACTGGAACATTGTCCTTGAACCTTTCAGCTCTATCAATACAAAACATTATCTTCTATATAAAGCAGTGAAATATATACTTCTATTTTTCATTTACCTAATTCCTTTTAAAGTTAATCATAGTCATATAGAGTTGGAAATATGAATAACTCATGAGAGAACATTTTAGTTTTATGTACTCTAATACTAGTACAATGTGAACTAAATGTCTGTACTTGATAATAATCCCTTTCTCCTTGGTCCCGAAAGTGGCTGTAATTATGAGACTTTTTTCTTTAATCATTATAGCCATATTTTTACATAGTTGTTGATAGTAAAAAAGTTAAACTCATTTAATGTATACTGTGTATTGTAGATGTAAATATACTTTAGATATACATGTACTATATTGACTGCTAGGCTATCTGTGTATATAAATAACATCTATATGTACCTTTGCCTTTTCTTTTCCTCTAGCTCCTGTATCTTTCTGGCTTTTTCTGGATCAATCTCTTGTTCCTTCTTCACAGGGCTCACTAGATTAACCGGTTTGGGATTAAAACCTTGGCCTTGCCCTGATGACAGAACTTGAGGCGCCTGAAAATAAGGCAACATAACATTTCATGAAATATGAAATTTTATCATATCAAATAATGATTCTTTGAAGATTTCCTATTAGTCTTTTACATTTCTTAACTCTTAAACATATTTTTTGTGGAGATGCCGGAAGAAGGTTCAGGTCAGAAAGATATTATGCATAATGGACCTCCAGCATATAGTATAATATATGGCATTTTAAGTTTGACCCCGTCAGGATCTAAAAGCTTATAGACATTCTCTCCAACCAACCAGTACAAAGTTTTGAGTATCATAGCTTTTTGCTCTAAAAACAAAAACTTGCTTTTAAAAGGTTTAAACCAACACTTCCAGCTTTAAGAATGATTAAACTGACTAAATCAAATTGGGACCATGCAGGTCATTTTCTGAATTTTCAGCTTTACCAATGGAAATCACATAAGTGCCCCTCTATGAATATCTGTTCCAGCAAAATCACCTATTCTGAAGCTAGATTCATCAATAAATCACATGAAACAAAATCAATGTCTCTAATGGGTTTTGAACCCACTATTATCAACCTTATCCATTCAGCCAATGACACCTTGCCAAAAAAAATTATAGACGGTATTAAGGCTTAAGCACTACATGCCAGTAATGTACATAATCAACAATCATATTCAGTACAGCTTTGGTAAGTGGCAGTCATGGGGATTTGCACAAAAACTTCAAGACATCAACAAATTAAAGTGGCTGAATTAACTGACAAATTTCCAGCCATTTACATTTTCAAGTGGCTAACAACAACAAATGGACGTCACAGAACAAATGGCCGAAAAAGTCAACTTCTCATAATCAGATATATAGAAATTCAAATGTAAGTAAATAGAGTTTAAAGATATAATAAAGTGGAATATATAGCACTTTTCATATTGCTGTGTGTTCAATAATTTCTATACCTGAAAGCGAGGCTGTCCCATCTGCGGGTTTCTTGCTCCCGGTGAAGGCCCCCTTGGCCTCATTTGTGTTAACTGCGCTCTATTTTGATTGGCTGGTCTTGGACCTCTCGGGTTTTGATTTACAAAAGGTCTTGGCTGCCTTGTTTGTTGTGTTGGGTTCTGTGGGCCTTGATTTAGACCAGGTACCTGACCTAGACGTTGAGTTACTGGTCTAACATTTGACTGCTGAGGTCCAAGGCGTTGTGTAACTGGTCTAACATTAGGCTCCTGTGGGCCGAGACGTTGTGTAACTGGTCTGACGTTGGACTTCTGGGGGCGGGGCTGGTATTGTTGATTGTTAAACATTTGTCTAGGCTGTCCTTGGTTAACATTATGAGGCTGTGGCGGAGCATTTCCTGAAAGCACAGATATCAATCAACATATTTTTGTATCTTTATTTCACTTCAGTATAATGTATGCACATTCTGAGATTTTGAGGCAAATACAGTAGTGATGAATATGGAAAAAGATATAATATTTTTTCTTTTAAAAGTCACAATATTTCCATCAGAAAGATAATGGGAAATGATCTAATTACTACCCTTTCATAAATTCTTGATAATTGAGCCGCACCATGACAAAACCAACATAGTGTGTTTGTGACCAGCATGGATCCAGACCAGCCTGCACATTTGCAGTCTGATCGATCAGGATCCATGCTGTTACAAACCCTATTACAAGTAGAGAAACTGGCATGGATCCTGATCAGACTTTGCCGATGCGCAGGCTGGTCTGGATCCATGCTGGTCACAAACGCACTATGTTGGTTTTGTAATGGCGCGGCTCATATACTTGTGGTTAAAATCTAAAACTGATAAGTTTAGGTTTTGCAAAGATTCTCTCACCTTGATGCTGTGGTCGATGCTGCATTAGACCTTGAGGTGGCGAGCCAAGTATTCCTGGTCTCTGTCCAGTAGCCATCATCTGATGTTGTTGTTGTTGTACTTGTGATGGGTGGGGCGAGGATGTGTAGTTCACTTGTGCTGGCATGGAGTGTTGTGTCTGACCCATCCATGCCTGGTTACCAGTCTGAAACTGATCATGGAAACATTTTTATTAATAATGTTAGAGTTTGCATATTTTTTATACACTTGTTATTACTGAATGGCAGGTGCTTAATCTTTTGTACAAATGTTCCCAGACTTTTTTTTCTACCAAAGTTTTAACTACATTAGGCAAAAGAAAAATTCTCTTAACACATTTGAAGCCTAAATTACAACCTTGGTAGAAAGCAGGGGTGTAGAGGTAAAAGATTAACTTCAGGATTAAGAGATATTTATCAATAATCTTGTAATAAAACTCTATCTAACTCTGTTTTGAAACATGCATTATTCATAGATTAACTTTACTTACATTTTGTACTGGTTGTGGTTGACTAAACAATGGCTGTGGAGCACTCTGAGGTATATGTTGAGAATGGATATCTGGTGGCAGAGACCCTTGAAAGTTAGGGTTTACATGTATATTTGCTCCACTGCTGGGCTGACTGAGGGGAATTAAGGGCTGGGGTTGACTGTGCTGAGGCTGGTTATGCTGGGGCTGATGAAACTGGGTCTGCTCCCCCACAGGCTGGATAAACTGGGGAGACTCCTGGTAAACTTGGGTATTCTGTGGTGTAGCTGAATATAAAATAATATAGATAATCAGGTTATAAGACTTTATTTTTGTACTTTCTTAAAGGGACTCCACTGAGGTTTTTTGACATGATGACAGGACTGGAAATATTTTTTTAATTATTTATACCATTTGATAACGATGTATAGTACACCAATAACATGTGTGCAAAATTTCAGATCATTCTTTCCCTCTTTTTTCTGATTCATCATTCTTACTGTGCAAATGCAGTAAAAATGAAAAGTATGGAAATACTTTTAACTCAAATCAGATTAAGACTCGTATTTAATTTTGATTTAAATTTAATTCTGAGAATATTAGTTACTGGTAATAATTAATATTTCTGTACGAAATTGTCAATGCTAGTTCTTAACCAGCAAGTTTAATTCTAAATTTTTCAAATAGCTAATGTTTGTTTTTTTTACTAAAAATATACTAGGCCGGTCTTTTGCAAAATTTAACTTGCACATTGAATGTCCAACTCTACTGGCAAATGTCAGCCAACAAGTGTAATTTAAAAACCTTTAACCTAAGGTGATAGCAACATTAAATCGAAATAGAGCTCCAGAAAGAATGCATATGCACAAAAAATAAAAATAGGCTTGTATATCAAAACACATACATGTAGAATAGTAGCGTTAACGTTTGATTATTTAAAAAGGAGATGTCTTGATTTCATAAAAATACAAAATATTTCTGTTTAATTTGATTAAAAACTAAAAATATTGTTGTCAACAACACATAGTTTACATAGTTCACTTTAGTTTTTATAGACTTAGTGCATGAATCTACAAAAATATACATGTTAATACATACAAGACAGCAAGGGTTGTGGCATTTGAATACCATGCCCAGCTTGGCTGGATCGATGGCCTCTCTGCTGCATCATTTCATGTGGGAATCTTGGCCTTCCATTATTCATACCAGGGCTTGGTCCCAATTGGCGAGAGCTGAATCTTTGCTGAAACTGCCCCTGCTGAAACTGCCCTTGTTGAAATTGACCTTGCTGTGGTCCCTGTGGCCTCATCATGTTGTTTGGTCCTCTAGGTCTCATGTTGTTGGGATTTGCATTTCTAGCACCTTGAAACATTGGAGATCTATTGCCAAAATTTGGACCCCTTTGTCTTGGACCTCCTCTGAAGAAAAAACAAAGTTTTAAAAAAATATATGTTTTAATCTACATCATCATAAGTGTACAAGGACAAAAAGTCCTTCGTGTAAGTTTATATTAATTCAAACATATTTTCATCTTACAAATTACAAACTGAAGCAGTAATTTTATTCAATCACTCTAAAATTTACTTGCTGAAAATAATCAGTACTAAAAGGAAACATGGTTACGAGTATTCATTACTTTACTACCCTAGCAGTGCTCGAACCCATGATCTGTGTATTATATGACATACACTTTTACCACAAGGCCATCTATCCCCGTAAGAAATTGCTCTTGGCAGTAAAGTAAGAACTTCCATATAAATTTGCTGAACAATGCAAGTTCTTTAGGGCAGTGCAATAATTAGCTTTACAATTAGACATAATATACAAATGAGCTGAGCAGTTTCCTTATCTGCATAAACAGTAAATCAAAACCTATTCATTGGCGCTTGAAATCTTTGTTGATGTTGTTGTTGTTGATGTTGCTGCTGTTGATTACCCATTTGACGCTGTCCCCTTGTACGTAAACCTCCACGTTGTCCTTTGTTATGAAACTTTCCTCTACCTTTCTGTTTCTCAAAGGAATCTATTTCTTCTTGCATTTCTTTTGTTATTTCTGTGATCAAATATAGCGTAATGATTTTATTGTTAACTAAACAGGAAATACAAAATTTGTTCTAAACTGTAAATGAATCAGTTCGAAAGTTTCTAAAATAGCAACAAACAAAATATTAAACATACAAAAATCAGTTTACAACTGAAATATTACTTTAGACTAGCAATCTAAATACTAATGAAAGAATCCCTTTATCTCGCATGAAATAAAGTCTGAACAACCTCTAAAAGTATGCAGCATTATTTTAATTTACAATACATGTATTGCTTTGCATATTTCATTCATTAGCTCATTGCCTCAATAGAGAGAGCATCGGATTTGTAATCTGGGAGTCCCTGGTTCAATTATCAGATGAGGCAAAATTTCTCTATGACAATGGGTTTCGAAATATGATTGTCATTGAGGTGGACCTGCCACACAGGTATGACCAAAGGTCTATAAAAATCGACATATAAACTAGAATATAAAGAAACAAACAAAGAATATTTCATTTGAAATATAACTGAAATTACTATATTATCCCAACACTTCTCTTTTCTCAGTGAAATATAATCTATATACAGAACACCAGTCATGCAATTGATTCAAAAATCGATGATTGCGATTAATGATTTCCCCAAGTTTGACACCTGAAATTAAACAAAATAATTTCTTTATTTACCAAGACTATCTGGAATGTCTGATGATTTAGTATGTGTTGACACAAGTGATATAGTTTTCCTCTCCGTTTGAAATCGTCCTCTATCTTTTTTCGTATTCCCTTCATCATCTTCTTCTTCCTCCTCATCATCGTCATCAGCGTGGCTCTCTTGTGTGTATGATATAGGCTAAAATGAAATTTTTTTAAGATATCCAACTAGTATAAGTAAAATCATAATGCAAGACAATAATGTTTTGTATCAGTATACTACAGTATTTTCTATATCACAAAGTACACTGGAAGTACTAGATACTGTCCGATAACATTTTAAGCTATTTGAAACAAATTTTTAAGGCATTATTGGGTGGAGATGGGGTGGGAGGGGGGGCTTTGTTGTTCTTATTTTGTTTCTATGTTGGTATCCTTCTTGATATATACTTTTCATATTATGTGTGGAATACCTGACCTGTCCCCTTTTGTTCTGTTGGCCTCTAAAGCAATAACTACTAGCTTAGTGACTTGAAAGATCATTTTGCCCTAGAAATGCTTTTTGTTTTACTTCTCAAAAGCTTTTTATTGTTGGTTATCATCTTCTTTAGATGCATTTTGGCAATTAGTAGCGATAAAGTGATTTTATAGGGAAGTCTTAATACTACTTTGTTTACATATTGCAACATTTATGACAAAATAATTTCACAATGAATACTACTTTCTTCAGGTAAACATCTAGCATGCTCTAAAACAAAACTTGTTTCAATATAATAAAACTCAAATTTGCCTTTTCTTAAGAAGGAAAGTTTATATGCACCATAATGGACCTTTAAGGAAGCCATTAAAAGAATTCATACTCTAATGACTCTTAGTCCCATGGCCATGGAGATTCTGACTAAACTGTTGTATGAACAACTTACTTGTGAAGGTTGAGCTATACATGTTGTATCATTAGGCTGTTCACCAACAAACAAAGGGTCTTCTATCTCGTCATCATAAACTTCTAACTCTGGCGCCTCCTCACCTTCATCATTATAATCAAGCTCCTGAAAGTAACAGATTATCTAATGAACTCACTTTTTTTGATAAACTATCACGAACGCAGGTACAACTAGAAATGTGTCCATAGGACACAGATGCCCCCACACACCACTGTTCTGTCAATCTTATGACTCTAAGTCAAATATTTTTTGGACTACATGTGCCACAAGTTGAAAACTAAAAATCAACAAAGGACCATATTTCTGTTAAATTTGGTTGCAGCAAAAATTCCTTCCTTTACTACCATCTACACATTAAGGTTGTTCATCCCTGGAAGTTTAAGCAAAATCTGCCATCCGGTTTAATTTTAGTTGAGTTCACAAAATTTCTACATAGTATATAGTGAAAAAATCAACAAAGGGCCATAATTCTGTTAAATTTGGTCGCAGCAGAAATTCCTTCCTTCACTACCATCTACACATTAAGGTTGTTCATTCCTTGAAGTTTAAGCAAAATCTGCCATCCGGTTTAAGAGAAGTTGAGTTCACAAAATTTCTATATGTCATATAGTGAAAAAATCAACAAAGGGCCATAATTCTGTTAAATTTGGTCACAGCAAAAATTCCTTCCTTTACTACCATCTACACATTAAAGGTTGTTCATCCCTGAAAGTTTAAGCAAAACCTGCCATCCGGTTTTAAAGGAGTTGCATTCACAAAATTTTTACATAGTATATAGTGAAAAAATCAACAAAGGGCCATAATTCTGTTAAATTTGGTCGCAGCAAAAATTCCTTCCTTTACTACAATCTACACACTAAGGTTGTTCATCCCTGTAAGTTTAAACAAAATCTGCCATCCGGTTTAAGAGGAGTTGCGTTCACAAGATTTCGGGACGTACGGACAGACAGACGTATGAACGGACAGACAAGTGCAACGCTATATGCTCCCACTTTGTGGGGGCATAAAAAGTTAAAAATAAAACAGAAAGAGAAAAATGATCTTAGATTTTCTATGTAACGGTCAATATTTATATTTGAATTTTGATGTTACGTCATGTGACTTTCATCATCATGTGACGTCTGTGAAGGCAGTGATTACAATTCTGCCAAGGGAGGTAATCACTGTTAGGAGTTTGACAGTTTGGAGCAGTACCTCTAGACGCTTGCAGAAATTATGATCACAAAGAAGAAATATCGCCTTTTACATGTATAAATAAATTTGGAACAATTGTAATCAAGAGTGATTTTAAGCTGCCAGCCAAATTTTGTTTCATATTAAAATCATTGCATTAAGTACACTTTATAAAATTTATCTATTCTAAGACCATGAATCTTCTTTATCTCAAATGGACTGGCATAAAATAACAGAAGGCATGGTTGAGTAAATATTTTTGTCGTACAAATTAGAAAAAAAATCTTAAGATTAGAAACATTATAATAAGTTACTCACCTGGCTGTTGGCAGTGTCATCAAAAGCACAGTTTTCACTGGATATACCTAAGTCAACTCTTTCTATAATCTCATCTTGACTTCTACAACAACAACAACAATAACAATATCAGTAACTTCCATTGTTACTTTAAGAAGACTTAATACATGGCCTAGAAATGATAAAATGAAGCCCAATCTCTTTTTAGTGCAAGTGAACCTAATCTAGCATAAGTGACCTTAACATTGCCTAATCCAAAATACTTTTTTTTAACGTAAATGACCTTCACCTTGCCTGAAATGACCTGCAACCTTTTCCATGGGTAGCAGTCTATGGACGCCAAAACATATAGTAAATAAGATATCATTCTGTACATGAAGTTGCTATAAAGTTCTGTATTTAAATGTCACAGAGAGACAGGCAAATGAACAAACTTGCAACTAAATGACACACCCAAAACTTTTGTGGACCTTATCAATAAAACTTTCAATTAAACAAAGCAGAATAATTTTTATTCATTGTAATATATTTGACAAACAATAAACTTAAAACTGAAATTTTCAATCATTGTAATACATTTGACAAAAAATTTATTTAAAACTGAAATTTTCAAGGAACAACTAATGTTCAAAGCAAATATATTAGTTTTCAGTCATTTTTGATGCCTAAGAGCAGTCATTGTCATTACTTATTATTTTTTACTTCAAAAAGGGTCTACTAAAAGAAGGAAATGATTAGGAAATGTCAAAACAAAAGTAACAAAACTACCTTTAGTGCACTTAGCAGATAAATACACAATACTTTTCTGAATTTATTTTAACCAATAAAGAGAGAAGTAATAGCTTAAAAATTGTCACTTTTTTTGAGGTAGTATTTGATTAAAGTTTTTTTTTTATCACAAATTGCTTTTAAAAGAAAACAAGAGGGCCATGATGGCCCTGAGGTCGCTCACCTGTATATAGGCCTCCCAAGCCCCACCCCCCCCCCCATCGTTGCAGGGCCAATTTAACCCAAGGGCTTTTATTTGCACAAACTTGGTAGAACACCCATAAGAAGATGTTTCATGCTAAACATCTAAGCTCTAGCTCATTGGGCTTTTTAAAAGAAGATTTTTTTTTAAGTTTTTACTATACACATATAGTTAAAAACAATGACACCCCTGGGGCCAGGCCAGTTTTGACCCCAGGGCTTTTATTTGAACAAACTTTGTAGACACTTACTAGAAGATGTTTCATGCTTAATATCTAAACTCTAGCTATTTGGGTTTTTTCAAAGAAGATTTTAAGTTTTTGCTATACACATATAAAGAAAATCAATGACCCCCGGGGCGGGGCCAATTTTGACCCCAGGTCTTTTATTTGGACAAACATTGTAGACACTCACTAAAAGATGTTTCATGCTTAATATCTTAACTCTAGCTATTTGGGTTTTTTCAAAGAAGATTTTTTAAGTTTTTGCTAAACACATATAAGGAAAATCAATGACCCCCGGGGCGATGCCAATTTTGACCCCAGGGCTTTTATTTGAACAAACTTGGTAGACACTTATTAGAACATGTTTCATGCTAAATATCTTAGCCATAGCTCTTTTGGTTTTTTAAAAGAAATTCTTTTAAGTTTTTACTATATGCATATAGGGAAAATCAATGACCCCCTGGGGCGGGGCCAATTTTGACCCCAGGGCTTTTATTTGAACAAACATGGTAGACACCCATTAGAACATGTTTGATGCTCAATATCTTAGCCATAGCTCTTTGAGTTCTTTAAAAGAAGATTTTTTAAGTTTTTACTATATGCATATAGGGAAAATCAATGACCCCCCGGGGTGGGGCCAATTTTGACCCAAGGGCTTTTATTTGAACAAACTTGGTAGACACCCATTAGAACATGTTTCATGCTAAATATCTTAGCTCTAGCTCTTTGGGTTCTTTAAAAGAAGATTTTTTAAGTTTTTACTATATGCATATAGGGAAAATCAATGACCCCCCCCCCGGGCGGGGCCAATTTTAACCCCAGGGCTTTTATTTGAACAAACTTGGTAGACACTCACTAGAAGATGTTTCATGACAAATATCTCAGCTCTAGCTCTTATGGTTTTTTAAAAGAAGATATTTAAAGTTTTTTCTTTAGGTTGCCATGGCAACCAGAGTTCTGCATGGAATTAAATTCTTTGAACAATTTTTAAAGGTGACCACCAAAGGAACATTCCTGTGAAGTTTGGATGAAATTGGCTTTGTGGTTTATGAGGAGATGTCATTTAAAGTAAAAGTTTACGGACAGACGACGGACGCCGGACGGACGGACGCCGGACGAAAAGCGATCACAAAAGCTCACCCTGTCACTTTGTGACAGGTGAACTAAAAACCCAACAGAATTGTAATACTGAACAGATCTAAAATATTTTACTTACTGAAAGGAAAAATTGTTGCTTTTTTCCTCTTCTTCCATCAGAAGAGCATCTTCATCAATATCTTCAATCGTTACATCTCCTTGCTGAAAAGAATTCATAAATCACAGATGATATATAGGAATTTCATTTTTATCTAAGGCAACAGATGTGCCAACAAAAACAACTGATTTGGCTAAAAGTCAAGGGGGATATTTTAATGTACAGGTTCAAAATACAACCATTTTTAACAGCATTTCAACCGATTATATGGATCGCCAATCTATTTATAATTAAAACTTTGGTGTTAAGAAAATCATTTATGATACACAGATGGTATAAGACTATCTTAAGTATCCTTACAAAAAGATTGCATTTATTCCACCAATATAAATCATGAAAACAGCATGCAGATTATATTTGGTTATCAATTTGGCCAAATGTTTCTACAAATTTCTTGTAAAGCTTTTTGCAGAAACGGAAATACATAATTAAATATCTGAAGATAATTTTAATTTAAAACCAATAATTTTTGTAAAGATTTGGACTTATATCAACCACTTGAGTGATACTCACTTCTCTCCTATCTTAACTATTGGTATCATGTAATAAAAGATGACTCTTTGAACCTCATAGCTTTTGAATCTAAATTCCTTAAATCATTAACTGTTACCACACTTTAATATCTTAAAAGGACTTGTAAATCTTTCAATATAAACAATCTCATTTGTCATTTATAGGCAAAATTCTAAAAAATAGATCTATTGACTGAGCAGCAGTGTAGAGCATGAACAGACAGGAATGTTATGCCAGCTTATCTAAGTCTACACTAGTTACATGGGTATATTCAGTTGCCTCTAGATGGCTAAACGATAAATAATTATTTCCATCATTTGTATCTATATACACAAGCTATATGGAAAAAAAAATTTCATGATGTTAAGATATTTACCATTTTAGATGAGAAAGCACTGACACTTGATCCATCACCTAGGAGATCTTCATCACTGTAATACATACAAAAATTGTTATTATAACAATCTTTATTTAAGTTCTAACATGCAAATTTTAATGGAAAAATCAAGCAACTAGCAAATATACACTTAACAAATCTTATAACTGTGCACGTACAAAAATCAAATTTTCTCAGATACTAATAAAGATAGGTCTCTGAAATTTTAACCAAATATAGTACAGATATGTGCAATGTTGGGTATTGATTTTTATGTCAGGGCGATTCGTATTTACTGAGAAATAGCGAAGTGTGCAAGATTGCGCGAAAACCAAATTTCACATTTCTGTAAAATGCGTGTTTATAATGGGTGCAAAAAGGTCTAAATCTCTTGATTTCACTAAAATACAAACATAAATCATCGATAGGGTATAATACTACAATAAATTCCAGGGCATTATGTCACTGTAATTCTAATATTTGCTTTATTGAATTTTAGTAAAGACTGGTTTATGTCGATCTCCGTAACGCGTTGTACCCAGTTACTAAAAGCAATGCAAACACGATATTTTCATTAATATGAAAGTACCAAGAAAGTTTGTTTTTAATTTTAAAGTAAAAACTTAGTCAATATGTTTATTTGAGAAAATATTATGCAAATTTATTTTCAAAATGGGCGCCCTAAATGCAAATTCCCTTGCGTAAAACTTCTAGACGGCCATTTTTCTTTCAATTGCAAACATTCTGCAATAAATTTATGTTTTTTGGATGTCTTTATTTTAATAGAATCCTTGATGGTCAATAATAACTTCATTAAGCGCCAACCTGTCATCCTCATGTGCACTTTGTTGTTTATGTACATGTCATGGATGAACGCACACAACAAAAATAACCGTTATTTCTGAATATAGCATTTTAAAAATAAACCATTCAAACGATGAATTCCAAAATTTGGGTAAAAAATGTCAAGTAATAAAAAAGTTATTCACATTTAAAAACTGCACAGTTATAAGTTTTGTTAAGTGTATTTAAAACAAGAGCACCGTTTAAGTTAGGTTTTTAGATTTTCAAAACCTAGATTAAAGCTGCACTGTACTTACTGACTTAAAATAGACTTTCACTTAACGTGTTTCATTATTTCAATTCAGCAGATGCCAGTGCGAGCTCATGCACTGTGCTTTAAAAGTCCAATTCAGTTACCTTTGATGTTTTCAAAGTGGTTGCTACTAAGCAGTCAAAAAATGGCCAATTTTACCCAAATATAAAAATTCTTGCAATGTCAATCTCTCAGCAAGGCTCTTAAGATACTGAACTAGAGTTATAAGATCCCGAAAAAGATCAATGATGCTTAATAAACAACAGAATGGACCATCAAAATCGCTGACATAGTTATGAATTTCTTTTTGACAGACAATTTAAATGTTTACTTTCAAATAGTTCCTTGTTCTATGCAAAAACTCAAAATCAATATATAGATAGCAAGGAGATACATAAACTTTAAATGAGAAAATTGTTTTTTGGAAAAAATAACCTTCAACTTTAATTTTTGCCTTTACTAGTGATTTCAAATTACAGGGATTATCAATAAATTATTAAAGTGACGTAATTGTTTGTGTCATCAATCAATATAGTATACTAGTATTTTTAACGATTTAAAGTAATGTATTGCTTTTTAAATGTCATAAAAGATCTGAAACATTTCGTGGAAAAAGGGCAGAAACGTCTTGGAGCCAACATGTCCTGTTTGCTAAAACAAATGCATCTGCTAAAAGTGGCACTGACTGGGCGTGTGGCATGTTGCAGGGACAACTACTTGTCAAAATATATTGACTGCCAAAGCTAGACTCCGAGATATTTTTGTTCTGGATCAGAATCTTGCTTTTGTAGAGGCCGGATATTGCCCAGACACAAAATAGCACAGTATCTTGTCACGCAGTACAATTAGTTGGACTAAGGCGTCCACTAGCCACATACTTCCCTGAGCAACATGCGGTTGTGTACAACTTATTGATGCATAAGTGATTGTATGATGTGTGAACACTGGTGAAAATTTACCTTTCCCAAGAAGCTTCAGTTGGCCTTTTCTTCGACATTTTTAATGACTATGCAGAACTTTAAAAATGTCACAAACTTTGAATAAATTCATTTATTAAAAAATGAGGTAGGTTTGTCATAAATTGGCATTAGCTTCTAAAATCTATGCACAGAAAACGCAAAATCAAAGAAAGTTTCAAATTCTCATGTTTTCAGTGCTCATGTACATAAACTTCCGCTCTCCAGCAGCTGCAGTATTGGCGACATTTGATTGGTTGATTTTGAGATCAGAGTTACAAAAAGCTTGTTTCTATCAAGCGTTTAAACATTGTTTACAAATGGCTGACAAGTGATCTGAAAAATTATTTGTGTTGTTTAAAACATAATACAGTATGTCAGACCGACAAATACATCTTAAGTTTGGTGGAAATGCTGGGGCAAGTGTTGATGCATATCTTGAGTACAAAAGGTATCGCAGTACATTATCCTCTGACCTCATCACGTTTCTTTCTTTCTTTAAAAGACACTGATAACTGGAACATAACAGTCAATGATACAATGTATCGGTAGACAGACGTTTCACTATTGAGACGGTTCACACCAAGACGGTTCACACCAAGACGTTTCACTCCCAAATGGGAGTGAAACGTCTTGAAGACGTTTCACTCCCTTTTTATACCAAAATTATTTTGATACTTATGATATGCTAAAATATACCTAAAATATTGAATTGAACTAAAATAGACCCTTAAATCTAATATAACTAAATTAAAAATGGGGATTTCACTTTTTTCAATGGCTTAAAACTCATTACCTTAAGTTTTATCATTTCAGTTATTTTATCTTCTTTATTATTGTTATGAAATAAGGTGTTTTTCTATTCTTTGATCCATATGTGCAATTATCACATTATTTCAATTGAAGAAAAAATATTTTTGATTAAAATAACACTTTAATATAACTAATTATTTGATCTTTTGTAAAAATGGACTCAATAGGCAATTTTAATTGAAAGCATAACAATGTCGTGACAACAATTAACTTTGAGTAACATGTGTTTTTGTTGTTAATTTTAAACATGATGATGGGATAAAAAATGTTAAATTATTTAATGCTAGTATACTGTAGTGCTTTTGCGATATACATTTATGTATAAAAATTTAATGTCCATTGAAATCAGAAATATCTTTAAATTAAATTAGAAGCATTGGGACTTTTTCAATATTTGTCATGTATAATCATTTTTTGTGACTAAAATTCATTATTATATAAACAAAACTTATGGAGAAGTTTCTCTGTTTAAATTGTCTGTTGTCAAAAAATAGTTTAATGGTCCAATAAACCACTGATTAGTAAACTGTTGATGCTTAAGTGCAGTGTTTATACAACTGATTTAATAGTGGTGTCAAACTGTTAGTTGATTTTCTCAGTGTTTATACAACTAATTAGGCGATGAGATAACACCAAAATTACTTAACTTTGTAAAGAACAGAACAGAACAGAGAACTGTTCTACTTCTGTTCTGTTCATAAGTTAGTTTAATGGCTACTGTTTAATAAATTGATGAAGAAAATAATTTAAAAAAATAATATATTTTATACACATGTTTCGCATTTCATTGTTTAAGACTTACAAAAAATAATCATTATATAGTCAATATATTTATTATTATTTAATATATTGATATTTTTTATTATTTGAATTATATTAGTAACTTTACTGGTAGTGATTTCAATATTTAAACTGATACTTATAAAAAGTCTTTGTTTGTTCTTTCTATGTTATTCTTTTTTTTTAATTTACTTTAAATAGAAATCCTCATGTTGTTACACTTATAATAAAAGTGATATTGAAGAAATTTGTCTTTCATTTACACGTACCTTTTATCACTCAACCCATAATTAAATGAGTAATCTTCTAATAATTTGTATTAACAATACCATTGAAATAAACAAAATGAAACATTAAATCGAATTTCCATTTTTACAATGTTTGATATTAATGAAATTAAAATTTGTCAACTTTCCTAGTAAACATCTAAAAATTGGGAGTGAAACGTCCATACAATTGACAAAATGGGAGTGAAACGTCTAGGTGTGAACCGTCTTGGGAGTGAAACGTCTCAATAGTGAAACGTCTTGGGAGTGAAACGTCTGACATTCCAATGTATCTACGTAGTGACATGTGTCTACATTGTATTTTTGTGATTTTTTAAAAAAAATTTATCAATATGAAATTAGGCAAATTCTTATATGAATAAGGCAAAGCCTCAAAGCAAGCTCTTTGGCAGAAATTAAAGTTCATAATAATTTAAGCAGTTAAACCCATTGGCGGCTACACATTTTATGTTTTCAATACACTTAGAACTGCACACTTTCAGCCGCACTCAACACAACCACACAATACATGCGGCCACTTGATGTTTTGTATGATTTATAAATGGAATCCACCTGTTACTCGAACATAGATGAGAAACATAATAGGACAGAAGTATAAGAAACTCTAAAAATAAAACATTTTCAAATTCTGACACACAATCTTATGCGCAAGATTCACTGGCCCAAGGTTTGAGTTTATCAATTTCCACCATCTTGTTTACATTTTCATTAATTACAGAGAATAACATCCTCTTAATCTTTATTTTTCTTCTTTATACAATTTGTTTTGATTACCATAAAAAATTGAAGATAACATGGCGGCATACATATAAAAGAATATTGGTAAAATTTCTCTTGTCAAAAGTGGTCTCAGAAAATCTTGCAAAATATGAACTTGTGTGATAATAAATGATTGTCATACAGATTTCAAGTATAATGATGTCATAGCTTCCTCTCCATTTCAATATAGCTCTGTGTTGATAGGTATAGAATTCTATATATTCTTTGGGTTTTTTTTTTTAGATATTATTAACATGTGTAGTCTAAAGCCGGGCAAGCCAAAGCCCTGGCCTGCTTTGCTGCCTGTTAGTCATCCAGACATCTCTGCAAAGAGAAATGTGGCAGGATGAGAAAAAATGTGCAGCATATAATTGGCAATTAAGTATAAAAGTTAAAACTTGTAGTAATCCTGGCAGGTACTGCATCTCTATTGTTCTTGTGGTTTTAGGAACAAGTGATAAATTGAATTTTGTAAAACAAGGTCGTGTCTAGCAATAGTTCTCAGGTTAGCAATTTAGAGCCATCATAGTAATTTTTTATCACTCTGACTGCATCACAGAGTGGTAAAATGATTAACCTGAACTAGATTAAACCCTTGCTGATGACCTTCAGAACACTAATTGTTAGGCAGTTTGACTTATTGAGCAGCTTAAGCATCCCTATTTGAAATCATTGCTATACTGTGACACTGTCAAACAATATTTTATTTGTATGTCTCTTTGACAAATGCAGTAAGTTGGACTGTATGTCTATCTCAACTTGGCCATGCTATTTTCAGGATTGTTGGGGATGATGATGGTGGAGTTATGTTTACTCCTGACCAGTATGAAGCATACAAAAAGAAAGTTTTACCAATGGTAGGGAATTTTTTATATTTTAACAAAGCATCTTAATTTATAGACATATACAGATATATATTTTGTTGTATCTATATGGGAGTATATATGTGAGAGTCATCTATTTTACACTTTTGTGTAAATTTAAGAACTTCAAAATGACGAAAGTTAAGATATGTGACAATGGTCTGTTGACTTGCACTGTAGGTTACAGTAGACTTTAGTTTCATTATTGATGCATAAATCTAAAGTGTCAGAAGATTTGATTTAATGAAAGTTAGCAGATAATAGTTTGATAATGTTTATAGCCCCTGCTTTCCATAATGAAATTTGCCTCACATCTTAAGTGAGGATTTGCCCCACACATAGTTAAGTGCCAAAGATAATATCAGTTTTCATCACATATTTTAAAATCTTTTATTCAGTCTATTTTAAAACAATATTTCTATAAAGTAAAATTTAATAATGTTTGACAAATTATCTTAGAAAGGCAAATTATGAATTAGGCAAATAGTTTTAATTTAAATCATGAGGAAGGCTATGACATTTTTAATATATGTTGGGGATTTGACCAAACAAACAGCATGTGGTTTGTTGTGAGTTATTATTCTAGCTCAGCCTAGACAGCCTCATTCATTTTCATTCAAGTAAAGACAACTATATGACAGAAATTATGCAATGTGAAGTTATGATATTATTTTTCTGGCAGCGTATGAAGAACAGAATATTTACAGCATGGTCTTCTCCTACTGGTATGGATTGTAAATTAATTGGCCCAGAGACTAAATGCTTCTGTCAACACAAGTAAGTTTCATGTATAATGGTATATAAGAAATTGGAATATTTGCCATTTTTTGTTAATGGGTTTATAACATGATGTTGAATTTCGGACACCTTAAATTTCAAAATCTAAATTTGATTTATTTTCTCAGGAAAAAAACACAAAAAGCAAAGAAAAAAAACACTATTTCCTTCTTTATTTCTATTTTGTGAGAGTCAAAATTAATTTTCAGCTCAACGTTTTTAAGAAAAGGCATCTAGCTATTGTACTCACGCAGGTGTCAGCATGTGTCAGTCACACTATGGTTAAGCTTTTGCAAGAAAGTTGGTTATTATAATAATCTCCAAAACTTACTGAATGGAATGGGTTGAAACTTCACATACTTACTTGATAGCACAATCATACATTAGTAGCTCTTTTTCCATTAGATCCATACCTCTAACATGTGTTTTGACAGTATTATGGGCCTTTTTAAACTTAGAAAATTCTATATTATCCAGGCTTTTGTTTACTATCAAGCACTGAGAATATGCCAGCATGCTGTCCTACTGAGAGCTCTTGTTGCAATAATATATCTTATGAATTCATGTATAGTATTCAGAGAATTAAATTAAGCCTCTCATCAGCTCACAATTAATGTGATAATTGCAAATATTCTTTCTTGTTATTTAATTTAGATGTTTGTTTCAGTTCCACTTTCACCATTGTTGGAAATGATCTTGTAATTTAATTTAGCAATTTTGTTAAGCTTCACTTTAAGCATTGTTGATGGACATGATTTATTTCTTGAACTGTCATCATGTTTAGAAGGATAAGATAGAATTCTATTATATTAATGTAATAGCACACAGTCAACCACTTAGACTTCCTCTGTTTAAATATACCATATATGGTCAACACAAAATGTCAGATTACTATGGACCATATTAAGGTTTTTTATTACTGATTTAGCACAATACATATAGCATACATGTTATTATAGTATATGTGTACTTGCTAATACAGATATAACTCTCTCTTGCAGATACTCTCAACATAGAACAGATTTTGACAAAATTCCAAGTGAGCGGCCAATTCTCTTGCCATGTAAAGTGAAGGGTTGTGGCTGCAGAAGTTACCACTATGTTCCACAGAATGGTACACAACCAATACGATGTAAATGTAAACATTATACAGATGAACACACTGCTGTACCACCTCACAAGTGCAAAAATGGTTGGTCCAATGTTAAAATGTGATTTGTTTTTCTCATTAATTTTCTTCTTGCAATCATCATTGTTGGAAAAGCAGAGGCTGTTTGTTGTGTACTTCTTCAACCAGGCTATGTACTATATCTATTTCTGTGATCATACAGTCTTTTTACATATCTGTAAAATATCATGATGTTTCAATAGAACATTTTAGATGATGCTTTCACAATTCTCAACTCTTGTTTTTATAACTGTAAAATACTTGCTTAGTTTTCATTTTTAAAATGTTTGTTTTGTTAGGTTATATAAAGTGCTTCTTTTAACAATGAATTGGGGCATCCGTGGCCGAGTGGTAAAGGTTTTTGACTTCAAACCACTTGCCCCTCACTGCTGTGGTTTCAAATCCTGACAGGGACTTTGGCTTCTTTCATGTGAGGAAGCTATCCAGCTAGCTTATGGAACATCGGTAGTTCTACTCAGGTGTCTGTTTGTACCTGAAATAATGCAAGGAATGGCACCTGAGGTCTTCCTCCACCAGTAAAGCTGAAACATAGCCATATGACCTATAATGTGTTGGTGTGATGTAAAACCCAATTAAACAAACAAACAAACAAACAACAATCACTTTTTTCACAGGTAGGGAAAGGTCATCCTATCCTTAAATTTGGTGAAAAATAATACTATATTTCTGCAGCTTGGGAAGGAAAAATCTTATAATTTTAGGGGAAACGGCATTATATTGAGAGGAAGCAGCATTTTAACAACCATTGCTTTAGAGGGAATAAAAAGGCGTGCATTAATACACTGTACTGCTGATTCTGTAGTTGTAATAATTAAATTGTCTACATATATGAGCCAACTTCTGCTCAAAACACATATGGCATTCATTTTTTTTCTTTCAGGAGGTTGCAAGTGCAGTGGATTTACCAGTTCATATACTTGTGGGTGTGGATTGCCATATGATGTTCATAATATGATTGTAGAAACAAAGGAAGAAAGGATGGCCAGGGGTCACCCTGTAGGTCAAGATGTACCATATCAAGCTATGGGTGGTCTAACAGGGTTCTCTTCTTTGATGGAAGGCTACATGAGGCTGGACCCTAGTGGTTTAGGTAAAATAATGGTGTACATAATCCTAGACAGAATACTTGATTGTGAGCAAAAATCAATGATTGCCTTAATATAATCCCTCTCAAGTGTACATTTGTTACAAAATTTGAGTTGATGTCATTTGAAGAAATATGGATTGGTTACTTACTCAACCAACATTTCTTGTGTTAACAGACAGACACCTTATGTTGTGAAATTATGTTCCCTTAATGGAGCTACTCCAAGGTCCAAAGAAAGATATGGACTTATTCATAATACTCATAATACAGTTCACAAATTTTATGAATGACCCTGGTATGATAAATGTAGGAATATGGTTAAAAATATAGAAATATTACTTATGCATATAGAACTTTTTACTGTAATACTTCTTACTTAAACAAATTATATTACTTTTATTGTAAATTTTCATGTAAGAGTTTGAATAAGATTTAAAGGATATTGCTTTAAGTGTCTCTCTGAGAATAGGCAAAATTGAGTCAAGATTAAGATTGCTATTTCATGTATTTTCCATGAACAAATAATAAAATAAAATATATTATGATATAATAAAATAATTTTGATTTTCTTGTGCATTTTATCTGAAGCAGTTCTATACTTGTCCATATGATATTTATAAAGACAATTCTGGAAAAATTACACTTGCCCATATAGGATATGGGGCTACCTGGGGAATATAGACAATTGATTTTGCTGTTCATGATCCATTTTTTAGAAGATATGAAATTTGACATTTGAAATAAATTCATTATATAACTGAATATTTAATTTTCTTCGTTGACAGGAGCTCCTCCAGAAGAATTTTTAAATCAGCCAATCACAGCGTCAGATCATCCATTCCTTCGAGCTAATGTTGAATCCATTAAACAACACAGAACTAACCAAAGAGCCATTGCAGGTATATTATAAAACACAAAGTTTTATGTTCATTTACAAAATTACAAAATTGCAAGAAAAAAAATTAAATTATCCAAAAATGAACACAATGAATAGTGATAAATTGATAAAAAATTTTGCTTCAATCAATATCAAAAATCCCTTTTACTCAAATAAATTCTAATTTTTTTCCTTTATATTTTTTTTTATTCTTTAAACTTAAGTATATTGTATTTTTCTTTTACCCTTTTGAATAGCGTAATTGAAAAGCCATGGCATGGTATATTTAATTTGGAACTGTATCATAATACTGAACAAAATTCAATTAAAAACAGTAAAGTTTTTTGTATGGCTCTGTGTACATTAGGCATTATGGGCACCATAAAATAGGTATTGAATGTTCAGATGTCCTGATATTGAATGTGATTTCCTATTGATTCAGGTCGATCAGATGTTGCCATTGTAGATGAGGACTTGGCAGAGAGAATGTCGGCCATGAAGAAACCAGGCGAGTCCGATATGGACTTTTATGAAAGACGATACCAGGAAAGAGTAAGTTAATGCATGTTTTAATATTAACCTTTTCCCTTATATAAGCGTGTTTCGACGGCTTTTTGCCCCCCCCCCCCTTTTTGAGGCCTCAAACAGTGAAAAAATGCCCTATTTAGGCCCCAAACACTGTCTTTCGTTTGAGAAATGTTGTTAAAAAAGTGACCATTTTTTCGGCGCCGTCCCCCATCCAAATATTACATCAGGTGGTTGCCAGAAGGGGGATGTGCCCCCTTCTGTTTGGGGGGTTTGAAGGGGGGCGGAGTCCCCCTCATCGCCAAGAAAATTTTGGACTTGTGAGAGGCTTAAAATAACCCCAGGTCGATCATAAGGTAACGTGTAACCGACGCTGAAAAGCCTTTGACTCTATCTCAATCCCTTGAGAAGTTGCATCACTTTGAAATAAATTTTGATGGCAAAAATCGAGGCAAAAAAGTGATTTTTGGCAATTTTGAGATGTCCCCTCGTTGCCATGGTAACAGGAAATTTAAGACTGAGCATGTCGTTACAAAGGCAATGGTCCAGTCAACATTTGTGCCAAGTTTGATTAGTATTGAAGCATTTTTCATAGTTTCATAGCAGTTTGAACTTGTAACAGGAGGCTTTTCAGTGAAAATGGCCATTTTTCACAATATGCTCATGGGGGAAAGGGTTAAATAATTTCCTTTATTGCATTGAACATGAATTTCTCAAAACAGAATGAACAGCATTGGATTACTAATGTCCGAATATGATCAAGTAATTAGACATCTGTCTGACTAAAAATGGACAGTTACAAATTCACAGTTTAAGTCACAATACATCATTTATATGAATTAGCAGGGTAATGATTGGACACAATTTATTGCAAACCTTTATGCCAGTTTAACTCTATATTGATCTTTTTACAAGATTTTTTTTATATTTTGCAGCAAAAAGCTGAGAGGGAGAGAGCTCGTGGAAGTCGAGCATTGCCTGCTGGGAGACTGGCAGTAGGAAAAAGAACTACAGCAGCTAAAAAATGATTCAGCATTATTATGGTGATTTTTTAATGTCACATTCAACATCTGGTTTAGGTGTTTGGTATCAGTTATAATTCTATGAATTAAAAAGCTGTTATTAGCTTCAGTGACAATGGTAGACTAAGTGTGTTTTGTTTCTTGGGTTTAATTTTTAGAACAGTAAACATTAAATTACATGTGAATACTTCTAGTTGGTTATAAGATAGTTGAGAAAATCAGCTTTTTTCTTATTTTAACAGGAAATGTCCAATTTAGATAAAATGGACAAAAATTTAGTTTAAATAGACATAATTTGGGTACTTTTAATTGGCATATGGATTTATTTTTTTTTTCATTTTCATAGATTATTATTGTTGGTTTCTTTTCATCAATTTTTTGCATGGTATTCAAGAATATTTATGATTAAAGCATTGTATATGGTCAAGTTATAACTTAAAGCTTTAAGCTGCCAGTATCAACTGAACTTTCACATATGGTTAGTGGAGAACAAGGTCACCAGCTCTCACATGCAGTCAAAACAGTGTCAACACTGTTAGCTATTTCAGACAGTATATATTTTGAATATTTCCCAAAAAATTATGAAAAGCATTTTGATAGATATGTTTGCCTTTTGTTGATGTTTTTCTTCCATATGTACCAGTAATAGAGAAATTCAAAAGGCCGATGTGATTTTAGAATGGATTAACATATAATTATTTGTATAAGTCCTGGTTTTGTGATGATTCTTGTTTCTTGTTGTTCTATTGATTGGTATATGAATATAGGTTTCTGACAGTTCAAAGATAAATTTTAAAATCTTAATGAAACTTTTGTTGAACTTTAGTTCAATCAGTCAAATATGGGTTACCTTAGTCTCTTATATAGTAGACCAAGGATTTTTTAAACATTGATATATCTGTGATAGGGGTATTTTTACGCTTCTAAAATTTTTGTTATACTTTGTTTTATAAAGTTTTGTTATTTTGCACAAAATAAAAGAAACGATAATAATTCAATCCAGTATTTGTTATGTGATTTCTCCAAACAACAAAAGTTGTCCATCTGTGTGCACTTATTTTCCAAAATCACTCATGAAGTCTTCTTGTGTATATCATAAGGAATTTAACCTTTGATGCATAAATGACCTTTACCTTCAAAGTTAATTCTTTAAATTTTCCAGGAATTGGCTATAACTTTGTTTTTAATGGATGCATTATATTGCGGACTTTGCTATCATTAAAAGTCCATGATTTTTTCAATACTTGGACATAACAACCTTTGAAAAACACTTCAAAAAAGTCAAATTCAACTTTACCTTTATATGACCTTGACCTTTTCTGTACAGTTAATGAATTTTGCTAATATTGATGATAACTTGATGACCTTGATCATTAAGGTCAAATTATTAAGCAAATCTTACTTAGAGAAAACAAAACCATCCTTTTTAGCAATTGAAAGACTAGTATGACTTTAACCATTAAATGACATTGACCTTCAATGTTTATTATTTAAAATTGACAACATTTTTTTTTAATATAAATGGATATTTTGTATTTATTTGTAGACAGAACAACCTTTTTGAAAATCCCTTTAAGAAGGTTAAAATTAACTTGACCTTTTAAAGATGTTACCTTTATTAATTTTTGACCATAATTGGACAAAACAACAATTGTCATTTGAACTTGACCTTAACATGACCAATATTCATACTTTGACCTACCAACACATTGGATAAAAGTGTCAACTTGAGTGATTCATGTAAGACCTTTCCCATTTAATGACCTTGATTGAAATTATTTTTAATTTATCATTTTTAGCTCGACTATTCGATAAGAATAAGTAGAGCTATTGTAGTCACCCGAGCATCGGCGTAAAGTTTTTGTAATACCTCAAATATTTTCAAAGTCCATTGACTTATGGCTTTGAAACTTTGCACACTTGTTGACCATTATGACCCCAACCTGTAGACAGGTGGAGGTAACTGTATCAAGCATTTTGACAGAACTATGCCCCTTTTTCAACTTAGAATTTACGTTAAAGTTTTTGTAACACCTTAAATATTTACAAAGTCCCTTGACATATGGCTTTTAAACTTTGCACACTTGTTCACCATCATGACCCCAACCTGTAGACAGGTGGAGGTAACTCTTTGAAGCATTTGGTAGAATAATGGCCCTTTTTCAACTTAGAATTTACATCTAAGTTTGCATACCACCTCAGATATTTTCATATTCTATTGACATCTGGCTTTGAAACAAGTTGAAATTTTATACTCTTCTTTTGAGAGCATAATAGGACTCTCTCCAAGGCCTATAACTGTAACATGGATTTAAAGAAAATTTTGCCATTTTGTTAACTTAGAAAAATTTACATTGTCAAGGCTCTTTTACTGTTATTAAAAGCACTAAGAATAGTCGAGCGTTGCTGTTCTACCGACAGCTCTTGTTTATATAATTGACCAACTATGAATAGATTTTATTCATACTTAGCTAACAGGTATTTACTTAGGACAAATGTTAACTATCATGCTGAATAATCCAAGCATAAACTTGAACCTTAAATGCCCTTGATCATGGTAAATATTTAATTTTATTTAAATACTGTAGACTTTTGAAGTTCATGCATATATTTTATTATAGTTTGGCAACAACAAAGTGATAGATAACATCATCATGCATGAAATGAATGGTTTTATGAATGAATTTTATTCTTTAGATGACTTATTGTGACATGTTTTGTGAGAACATGCTCATTGTCCCCAATGAGATCCCCCTCTGTCCAGTGTCTGTCATTACATGCTTTGTGGGTCATTCTTCATGGATTATGTCTTCAACAACATCTCATCTGAAACTTAGGATAAGATAATAACCATACTATACAGCAATGATCTTTGGGAGATCCCCTATCAAAGTTGCTCAAATGTTTCTGGGTGGCTGCATAAGTAGGTCACAGGGCCAAAAGATGTGTATAAAAAACCAAATTTCAAAAAAACTTCTTGCCTTGCCTAAAAGTACAAGGCACAGAGCTTTAGTATATGATATTAACATCATTAGGAGGTTTTACACCAAAGATTTTCAAGTACTGACACCAGGGTCAAAACTGACCCAGCCCCGGGTGTCCCGCTTTTTCTTTATGTGTATATAGGAAAAATAATTTTTAAAATCCTTCTCTGTGACACCCAATGGGCAAGAGCAAAGGTATTTAGCTTGAAATTTCCTCAAATTGATCATTACCAAGATTCTTACATAATGGTCCTGGGGTCAAAATTGGCCCTGCCCCAAGGTTATGGGTTTTCCTTATATTTATTTAGTAAAACCTTCAAAATTATTCTTCTCTGAAATCCAAAGGGCTTGAGCTTATATATTTGAATATGCTGGAGATCTTAATTCGGTAAAATTGGGGATTGGCGCACAACTACCAAAACAGCTGCGAGAAGCCAGAAAACCACTTTATCCTGCAATGAAGAAAGCGAAAGGTGCTGGAAAACACGTTAGATTTGTTGGTGAGAAGTTGTTCATAGATGGAGAAGAATATATTCCGGAAGTGAGTTCTCAACATTAGAAAGGTCAAGAAGAAGAACATTTAACCATCATATCATGGAACATTAACGGATTAAAGCGTAAATTAATAGATTGTGACTTTTTGGAATATATATCTGGATATGACATTATTTTTCTTAATGAAACATGGATATCAATGAATGACACTTCAAATTTAAATATAAATGATTATTGTGTAGAACATATCTTTGGTAATAAGTCCTCAAACACTAAAAAAGGGAGAATTAGCGGAGGTATTTCATTTTATTATAAATCAAATATCAAGAAATTTGTTAAAGTAATAGAAAAAAAATAATCATGGAATTATTTGGGTTTAGATAAGCGCTGGTTTGTTTACCTTTGAAGACGATGTTTATATATGTCATGTTTATATACCGCCTGTTGACTCAAATGTATCAATGTATGTAAACTTTGATTTTTTCGAGCAATTAGAAATAGACATCTTGAAATATAGCGATTTAGGTAAAGTCTTCGTCTGTGGTGATCTAAATAGTAGAACATCAGACAAACCTGATTTCATAGAATTTGATAAATATTTGGATCATAATTTGACATTTGTAAACACACGTGATATCACAACGCGCGTAAACAAAGATCACGTGATTGATAGTTGCGTTTACTCGATACCTGTCAAACAACTGGTCTATTAATAGCAAACGGCCGTCTGCTAAGCGACAGTAACAGGGGTAACTTTACATTTTGTTCAGGTAGAGGATTAAGTACCGTTGATTACTTGCTATTGAATTTACTGATTTTCAATTATTACAACATTTTAAAATTGAAGATTTTAACGAATTCTCTGACCATTCTCCTCTCTCATTTACTTTTGTAAAAAAAGAAAGAATGTACATCTCGAATAGCAGAATCGGGTATTCATCCCAGCGAGGATAAGTTTTCGTGGACGAAGAAAAAATACCCCTGTTTAGATCACAACTTTTAGATAGAAATGACGATATTTTAAAACTTACTCAAGAGGTCATAGATCAACCAATAGACCACGTGGTACAAAATATTTCACAATTCATATCTGACAATGCATTCGATGTGTTCGGAACAAAGCGAATTTTAAATCATAAACATGGAAAATTAAGCAAAAAATGGTTTGATAAGGATTGCTTCGAGGCAAAAAAGGAATTTAAGAAAGCACGTAATGTTTTTAATAGGCACAATACAGTTGATAATCGCCTCCATTTTATACATACGCGAACGCGTTATAATAAAATTAAACGATCTGCAAGACATAAGTTCAAAATAAAAGAAGGCTTAAGAATAAATAACTTAGCTAAATCTCAACCCCGGAAATTTTGGCAAAACATAAAAAATACTTATAAAGATGATAAAGAAAAGACTGATACATTAAATGTTGAACAACTATATGACCATTTTAAGGCACTATTCGGCGAGGAAAGCCAAAATGAAAATCAAACCTTTTTATTTAATGATAACTTAATTGATGAAGAACTAGACGCAGAAATTAATGAGTGCGAGTTACGGGAAGCTATATTTTCTCAAAATAATAATAAATCACCAGGCTATGATAAATTAATATGTGAAATTTTTAAAGCAGCCTACGATATCATGTCTCCATTGTTGCTTAAACTCTACAATAGATTGTTTATTAATAGTGAATATCCTAAAGTTTGGGGGGAGGGTATCATTACGCCTGTTTTCAAAAAAGGAGATGTTAATGATGCTAAAAATTACAGAGGGATTACACTTATTAATATTCTTGCGAAAATTTATTCCCAGATATTGTTAAATAGACTTAGTAAGTGGTCAATAAAACATGATAAAATTTGTAGTGAACAATTTGGTTTCCAAAAAGGAAAATGAGTGTCTGATTGTATTTTTATTTTTTATGCCGTTATATCAAATGTTCTAAATTCGGGTAATAAAGTTATATTGTATTTTTGTTGATTACGAAAAATGTTTTGATAAAATAGATAGATCGTTTTTGTGGCAAAAGCTTATTGCAGAAAATATTAGCACACGATTTGTTTAAGCAATAAAATCAATGTACACTACTGTAAAATCATGTGTAAGGTATAATTTTACATATTCAGATCTTTTCAATTCTCACATAGGCTTGAAACAGGGTGGTCCGAGCTCACCAATGTTCTTTATGTTCTTCGTGAATGACCTTCTAAACAATATTAACACTGATTTAGAAGCTATTTTTACAATTAACGAATTAAAATTTTTCTCCTTTTATTTTGAAGACGACAAAGCACTTTTTGCTAAATCCTCTGAATCTCTACAGGCAATGCTAACGGATATTGAAACTTGTTGCCGTATATGGGGTTTGAAAATGATTACGTCTAAAACAATAGCAATGATTTTTGAAAAAGACAGGCATACTCGGCATATTATTTTACATTTATAGCACACAAATCGAACTTGTAGACTCATTTAAATGCCTTGGAATTACTCTCTTGAAACGCAAAACAGAATAACTCAACATGCCGCATTTGCTATAGATAACCTGTTTAAAGTATTTAAAAATATAGAACTGCCAACCTATCAGAAATGCAATTTGTTTAATTCTCTAGCCGGCTCAATTTTGAATAATAATTCGGAGATATAGGGAATTCACGATCCTAAAGATATAGAGTTTATACATACTAAATTTTTGCGGAGAGTCTTAGGGGTAAATAAATCTACTAACTTGTCAGCACTTTCTGATGAACTTGGTTGTTATCCGTTATATATTATCAGAAAACGTAACATGATAAGATATTGGTCAAAACTACTTAATAAACTTAATGATACATCACTTGTAAAGCATGCGTATTTACTTCTCAAGTTAGACACAGATGTTGGTCGAAATCATAACGGAAAAAATTGGGCTTTTTTATTAAAGACACCTTGTAAAGTCTTGGCTTTTCATATATTTAGGACAATATGATATAGAGATATACATGTACCATATAATACGATTAAACAAAGATTAATTGACAAATAATTCTCCAAGATTACAAAAATACATCATATTTAAACATTCTTTGAAGTGGAAAATATTTAGATTATGTCCAAGAAAGTAAATAAATAACTGCTCTAACTAGATTTCGAACTTCTTCCCATAATTCATTTATAGCAACTTGTAGATATGAAAACACTCCTAGAGAACAGCGAATATGTAAATCCTGCAATATGAAGCAAATAGAGAGTGAATACCATTTTCGCCTTGTATGTCCCAACTACCGAGATCTTCGAACAAAATATTTTAAACCATACTACTACAATTGACGCTATGAATAAACTTGATCGTTTTTTTTTGTCGTCAGACTCAAAAGAAATTCATGTGCCTTAGCTAAATTTTTGTATTTGGCAAATCATAAACGTATATCTTAATCTGATATTTTTTCTGAAAAACTATATTGTTGATAAGTACAAGTATTATTTGTTCCCATATTAACTTGTATTCTTCAGAAAACTTGGGTATAATTGTTAACTGCTATTTTTCTCACTGTACATGTGTATCATTGTAAATTGGCTATAAGCAATGTATTTTGTTTTATGCTTAATAAAATTCGTATTCGTATTCGTATTCGTATATTGGACATAAAAAGTCTACTGGACTTGTTTCAATTTTGTTGAAATAATATGGCCCTAGGACCAATATTGGTCCTGCCCCAGGGTAAGCATGGTCATGCCTTGGAGGTCGATCATAGGTTTTCATATATAGTAAAACCTTCAAAAATCTTCTCCTTTGAAAGTCATGAGACTAGAGCTTAGATATTTTCAGTGATACATCATCATGTGGAATTTCTTTCAATATCGATGAAAGTATAGCCCTAGAAGCAGTATTGGGCCCATCCAAGGGTATCATGGACCTTCCTAGCTTTGGGGTCATTGTTTTTCCTTATAAGTATAATATTGTAAAACCTTAAACAAACATCTTCTCTGAGACCTTAAAGGCTTGAGCTGAACTTGTTCCAAGATTGTTCAAATTAGGTCAAAAAAGGTCCATGGGTCGAGTGTAGTCGTAGGTTTTCCTTGAACATATACAGTAAAACCTTAAAATATACCGATTGATTTATTTTATACACTCTACAGTACATAAGAATTGAATTAAGAGATCTGTATGAATTTGATTCCTAGCACATTGTTGCATGATGATTATCGTCCAGAGATTGCTATTTTGAATTTTAAGGTCTTTAAACAAAATGTGGTAACAAATTGACGTGCATTTTCAGCTTAACTAAAACTTGGAGAAGAAATATATCTAGTAGTGTTCGGCCTAATTCAAAATCAATATGGTTATTGAACCTACACTGGAACTCTTCCCAAAGAAGGTTTCGTGCTAAACGAAAACACAATTACTAAAATAGTGAAAACATTGTTAAATGTAGGTTTTCTGTGTTTTTATTAGCAATATTATCATATTTACAATTATTTTCAATGTAATGCATCTACACAACATAGGATACGTTTTGTTAATTGTCTACAAATTACAATGATCGCGAAATATAGTTACAAAAGGGATTTTTTTCTCTAATTTACAGTGTTCAACACACCAACTGTTCTTTCAGTTCTTTGTGTTGTGCTTTTGTTAATTTAAATAATTTTTAATTGTAACTCCACAAGCATACAAATTGACATTTTGTTTTTTGTTTTCATCCTAAAGGCTAAAAGATTTTACTTTTCCAAATCATCAACCCATTATTTGCCTTTACTAGATCATTACATTATACTTAAATTATACATAGTCACTGCAACCCCGGTATAAGTTAACGATCATGTAAGCGGATATAAGGCATTATAAATATACATGACATACGTGAGTCACGTACGACTAGCCTGGACACACTGTATTGGCTAGCCGTACGGCACTTTTCAAAATTATATGAAAGTCGAGAATGCATATGTTATTTTGTGTCTTTAAACGACGATTTTAATCAAATCTCCGCATTTGTCCTAACTAGTGTGTTCACTTTAATAAAGATGCTCCGTAATTTTGCAAAAAAAAAATGAATACGAGTAAGCGTTGTATAATCTATCTTAATAAAATTAAGTGTCAAAGTTGCATGTTATAACGTCCTTCATTTTCATGCTTATGATTTGTATGAAAGATGAATTGTTAAATCTGTTAAGCACATGGATCGAATAAATAATGATCAGAGGGAAATAAATAAATAAATAAAAAGAATATTTAAAAAAAAACTGTGAAAAGGAAAAATAATTTAAAAATGCAAACATTCCTTAATGATCACGGATTTATATTACAAATAATATATCAAAGTCAAAGTCAAAATTTTATTTGCAATTCGGCAGATATCTGCCTTTGGCAATACAAACATAAATATACATATGGCAAACACACAATAATAAATCTAACAAAAGCAAACATTCATTGAATGAACATCATACATAATAATGCATATATTGTGTTAAGATTATTTTTGGTATATCGACAATTTAATACCAATCATAGCAAAGATCTAAGATTGTTTTAATATTTATTTTATAATTGTTCATTTCTTCTATCAAATGCATCTCTTAAGAATTTGCTTAAATGATATATATTTTTTCTTTTAGAATTTGTCATTAATCTAGAAAATTTATTTAGATTTGGAAAAGTGTGTGGCAATTTGTATTTGATTCTTAAATCTCTATATAATGGACAGCATAAAAGAAAATGATACTCCGATTCAACAGCTTGCTGAGAACAAAATTTACATAATCTCGCATTTCTTTCAACCCCAATATATCTTCCAGTTTCAATTTCTAATGTATGAGAACTTAGCCTAAAAACTATATAATAACATTGTAATATAAATCCGTGTTAATGATGAACGATGGACAAACTTCTATACCGTCGGTAATTGACGCAATTATCAGCTAGAGCCCAACAACAATTATTTTTGGTGTTTTTTGTTTTCTTGTTTTTTTTTTGTTTTTTTTTTTCAATTCAAAAATTAAACTTAATGAAACAAAAAAGGATTATTATCAAAATTTTGTAAACTATTTCAATTGATGTTATTTAACTGCAACCAAACGCTATTTTTTCTCGACGTCTTGAGAAGACAAAGTACACTTTACTGTAGCCAACACGTCGATTAATCTCTAAAAAGTAAACATTCTTGGCTAAAATCCTCGCTTAAAGTCATAATTAACATATGCACTTTCGCCTTCCATATATTTTTGAAAAGTGCCGTACGGCTAGCCAATACAGTGTGTCCTGGCTAGTCATACGTGACTCACGTACGGCTAGAACTTTTGGCTAGCCGTACGGGCCCGTACGGCTAGCCACTTCCTTTTTTTATATAATATGAATAAGGCAAAGCCTCAAAGCAAGCCCTTTGACAGAAATTATAGTACATTAATATGAAATTAGCTGCTTCCTATGGAAGGTAACGTTATCTTTTGTCCAAGATTTAAACCAGATCTTTCTTGCAGGTATTTTGTACCATAAACAAAACGAATAAATTGGTGGTGTTCAATTTATCATCGGAGCACTCGGAATATTCCAAAAATCTCCGAACGTAAAGGGTGACTACTGAGCATGCGTTGGCGTTTGGAAAATCCCGTCCGCCATTTTTGTTATTTTTTAAATTTTCGTTAAGTTTTAATTTGATTTCAGTTGAATTGATTCGTGTCATACATGTTATCTAAGAGCGCTACAGCCCTTGCGTCACTCGGAATTTCCGCATAAAATTTTAACCCATCGGTGGCTAAACATTTTATGTTTTCGATACACTTAGAACTGCACACTTTTGGCCACACTCAACATAACCACATGCTATATACAGCCATTTCATGTTTTATGTGATATCTAAATTGAATCCACCCATCAGAGAACATAGATGCGAACCATATAGATACAGTAGAACTTCGGTAAGTCGAAGTTGGAAGGAATTTCATGACAAAATTTCAACCAGTGACTAGCCCTAATTATAAGATATATAACGTAACCTATTTCATGTGTTTCTTTCATTTATTAATCTGATATTTACATTATGCAATGATAAATATGACATGTTAAGTAACTTTTCACGGCTAATGATTTGAAGTACCTTTGATGTATACAAATACAAAAGGCGCTATTAACCAGCTTATAGTCAATTAAAAGTTAATGAGTTCTTTTTCAAATACCGATTAAAAAATTAGTACATTTTTTTTCACACATTTTAACGTATACAAAGGCTGTTTGAACACTCGGCTGTGTAATTAACACGTGTCACTTAAGTTGATCGGAAATCGTCTTCGCGGCCAGAACAGGTGTGAAAAATGTCTCGAGATCGAAGGTGCCAAAATAATCGAAGGACTTTAACTTATTTGTGGTAAATTGTACTAGATTTATTCTATACGGACCACGAAAAATCTTCGACACATCGAAAAATTGGACACATAAAATCACGACTCATAAATAGGTTTTTATATGGAATATATAAGAGAAAAAATCGGGACTTTCATTTTACATCGAGAAAATCGACTAATCAAAGTTCGACTCATAGAAGTTCTACTGTAAGGACAGGGAACCAGATTATAGTTTGGGTAATACGAAATTAGGCAAAGCCTATGAACAGTGAAGTCGGTTAAAATAATCATCCATTTTATTTATTTCATTCATTCATTATTATTCCGACCAGCTCTTCGAGCTCACTCTAATTGGCAAAAAATGCCATGTTATTTTTTGGAGTCAATGCCTTTGAGCGTTATACTGAGGTTAGCATTATGACAGTGAACTTCACATATTAGAAGAAGTAGATCTTGTCACCGGTAGGGAAGCTGGAGTAGAATAGCTTTTAATTTATTTTTATCTTTATTGTATTTTCAAGGAATTGACTTGACTGCCTGGTGATCTGAAGATATGTACGGTCAGGGTGGTGAAGGAAGGAATAGAGGGTTTGGCTTCCAGGGATTCTCTATTAACAAATCAGATGGAGGCAGTGTAGGTATGTGTCAGCCAAAGATGTTGGTTCTTTTGGTTTAAACATTTTATAAATTTAAGCTAGATTTCAAAACAAGTTCTTGCAACTTATATAAATCACTTTCGAGTCCGCTTCCTGGAAACTCGTGTCATATAAAAAAACATGGTTGTGAGCTGATTAGGGCTCAAACCCATGATCCCTGGGTTGAGAGGCAGACACCTTAACCACTAGGCCACCGCTCCCTTGTCGGTTCTTTTAATCTGTTATTGTTTAGCTTTAATATTTCTCATATATCTACTTGTAGAAAGGTATGGTATTCACTTATAATTTCATATTTGTAAAAGTATTAAATTGTTTATTACTTGAATTACATGTATCATATGATACCTATGCAGTTGTAATAAAGTAATCTCTAAGTAGTATTCTTAAGCAATCAAGTATCAGCACAGTATGGCACACACTCTGGTGTTATAACTGTTGACGGTAGCTATTGTAATTGAAGTCTAAAAACAAACACTTGTCTAATATGACTTTATTGCCTTGAGGGTGTGCCCAAACCATATATTATAATATGTGAAACATTGAACTTCTCAAGTGAAAATTACAAAAAGGTAAATTAACATTTAACATATTTTGACAATCACTGAACAGGATTGTTTCATGTGATGTACATGTAGCAAGGAGAAAGGTTAATATAGGTAAAATGAACAATGTTATATGATTATGTTTATAATCATTTAGGTGGAGATGGATTGTCCCGCATGGGAAGTTCGGGAACAACCCGGGGTATTCCAGGAAGAAGTATGGGCTACAAACTACACTTTGGTCGCAGCAGGATAACTGATGATGATGAGTATGATAATTTTTGTTTTGTTGATAAACATTTGAAGCCAAGTTAATGTAAACATTTTGAAGCCAAGTTAATGTAAACATTTTGAAGTCAAGTAAATGTTAACATTTTGAAGTCAAACCTAGTGGAAACATTTTGAAGCCAACTTTTAATGTAAAAACATTTTAAAGCCAATTTTAAATGCAAAACTTTTGAGCCAACCTAATGTAAACATTTTGAAGTCAAGTAAATGTTAACATTTTGAAGTCAAACCTAGTGGAAACATTTTGAAGCCAACTTAATGTAAACATTTGAAGCCAACTTTTAATGTAAAAAAGTTCTAAAGCTAATTTTTAATGTAAACATTTTGAAGCCAAGTTAATGGTTTAATGGAAACTTTTTTTGTAAATATTTTGGAGTTGTTCAATTTCCTAATAGAGAATATAACAATATTTTTTTTTAAGAGAGCAGAACTGTACATGTATGGTTTATAGTAATTTTGATTTTGATGCAGTACATTGTATTTTGATATAAATTTTTGTGTGTGTTTTCTTCAATAATATAATGTTGTCTTGTAAAAGAAATACATTTTTGCGTTGATTTTCAGTTATTTTGATGATGCTGATGAAGCGGAGAATGCTGAGTACCAGCCAGCACCTGGTAGTCCCGGAGCTGACGAGGACGGGAACAAGAAAGATGATAGTGATAGTGATGATCCCCTTGATGCTTTCATGGCAGGTATAGAGGTGAGTGTGTATTTTCATGGTACTTAACCTGTCATAAGATGTCTTTGTTTAGTTACTGGGCACTAGACAAACGTCTTTTTGCTATTTGTATTGTTGAGGTTTACGTCACACCAGCACTTTAAAAAGGAAGCATTTAATTATTTTCTAAAATCAGGTTTAAAACATTAGCATATATTCTCCTATTGTCAAATTTTGTTTCTCATGTTGTAGGAAAAAGTAGAGTCAGATTTAAAACCCAAGAAGAAAGATACGAAGAAAAAAGGGGAAGAAAAGTAAGTTCTAGTCAGTTATGAATATACAGTCAAATTTGTGAAAAATGATCCATCTTTTGTGGTGGCATACTGTGGCCTTTATGAACAGGCTGGATTGATTTAAGTTACTGTTTGTTTGATATAAACAATCACAATTTTTTTAAGAATGGTCTTTATACACAGGATGAAGGTAATTGCAAAGGCATGCTTGTCTGTATCTGAAACGTAAATTTCTTATATTTATTTATGATGAATAATATTTTGTAAGATTAATTCTTCATTGTTTTTAGATTGAAATTTTGGCATTACCGTCCTGATTTTGTAGACGTTATTTGTCTGACTTCCATTCTGGTACAGTTCGTGTTTGGAATTTTGCTATAAAAAGCTTATATTAAACTGCTTATTGTATGGGATGTGGATTGGAAAATTTTGGTCTGCAGAAAGTAAATATCAACAATTCACAAAGCAGCTTCTGAGGTCTTTTGCTAGCAGTTTTATGTAAATCTGAAAAGTTGGAATTCAATTTAAGTTATTAAGTTTTATATTCTGTGAATTTACTTTATTTCATGGACATGATATTTTGTGTTTTTGTCACAAATAACATTATCATGGGTACTTTATTCTTGGACTGTTTATTTTTCCAAAAGGTAAAATGTAAATAATGTGATGCAAAATAATCTTACAGCAAACAAAATGAAATTTTGTTGATTCTTGGATTGACATATCCTCGAAATCTACGAAAATTTGTGCCCCAGAAATAGTAATGATTTTCCAGTAGTTTGCTGCCAGCAGGCTAAATATAAGTAGTCATGTTGTCTGTATTGTAGAGGTGTAAGAGATGACATAGAACAGGAAGATGTGGAGGAAGCCTACTATCGTTACATGGAGGAGAATCCGATGGCGGGTGTTCTTGCAGACGAGCAAGAGGAACTTAATGTAGAATATGATAATGACGGAAATATCATATATGTGGAGAAAAACAAGGTTTAGTTTTGCTTTTAGATCATACATTGCTTGGTGTTTGTAACTGACATGACAGTTTTGAATTTTATACTGTGATTGTTATTTTAAGAAATATTCTAAGGGATATGTAAAAAAGCTGATATTTAGTACTCAGCAATATAAAGTCTTAATTGCATTTAGGCAAGAATGACTTTACAATGGTGGCACAAGCAAGTTTTTATCACCATTAGAATTTTGCTTGTGTTATGATTTTATACATTTGCTAGAAAAGCTTATTCCTTTTTAATGACAGGGAGATAATTTTCTGTTTCCAAATTGCTATGAAGAATATCTACAGTTAACAAAATAGCAACATTCAGAGACATGCCAGTAATTCCAATTGCTTTTCCTATTTAATTTTAGTGTAATCGATGTGCTGTAGATATGTTTGATCTTTGAAATTTCTAAGATGAATGATTTATATAATTGCCATGTAGTGTACAAGGTTAATGTTTTAATATTAAAAAATACAAAAGAACTTCATTACTTTGGAAAAAAGTTTTTTTTATTATGGATATTTTAAACAAAAAATGCCACACTACTTATAAGCAGGATAATCTTATACCTGAGTTCATACAATAAGTTGAATTGTCTTACAGATAATAGATCCATTGCCTCCTATAGACCACTCGGATATGGAGTATGAGAATTTTGAAAGGAATTTCTATGAAGAGCATGGAGAGATATCTAAACTGTCAGACCAGGAGATTAATGAGCTCAGAGATAAACTAGGAATCAGGGTAAAGTTTGAATCTTGTAGTTGCACAATATGTTTCATAAGAATTCTATTTTTAGCATCATTTTGATGATGTGTTTAAAATTGGAAATAATTGAAAGGGACAAGCAGCTATAGACAACATAAACTGATTTATGTTGGTGTCCAATTGACAACCAGTCAGTTGATAAACGCAGTCATCAAACTTTATATTTAAGATAGCCGTCTGGTCAGCTCAATAGGTAAAGCATTTGACTGTGAATTGACTGACCTGGGTACGATTCCCGGATGAAGCAGGTCACTTTCGTTGTGATTGATCATGAAATCCTTCCTACAGTCATTTGCACTGTACCTCTGCTTTGGTTTGTACAGAATTTATGATTTCTTCGCAAAAGCAACTTATACTGGTAAACTGCTTAACAGGAGCATTGCAGTGTCTGGTAAATTCAGTGTGGCTTACTGCCGTGATCATGAGTGAAAACTACCAACACCGCTATATATTAATGCCATTATTTTAAAACAATTACATTGATAAAAATTATAGACTTACTTTACTAAATAAAAAATGAATTGCCATTTTAAAGTCAATACTTGCATCTCATTACTCTGCTGTATCAATTTATATATCAACAAAGTATGCCTTAATATCTTTTTCCCACCATGAAAAAAAATGACCATTTTGGTTAAACATTGCTTTTCTTTGACAAAGCTTGTTTGATACAATAATCTTTACAGGTATCTGGATTAATCCCTCCTAAACCTGTGTGTAGTTTTGCTCACTTTGGATTTGATGAATCCCTCCTAGATGCCATCAGGAAATCAGGATACTCCATGCCAACTCCTATACAGTCACAGGTCAGTAGTTTAATACATGTATATAACATAACCCTTATTGAGCATGACTTAAAATAATGAAAAAACAAGAACAAAAGTTTTCCACATGGCTCTATAAATTAGCTTACTGATTAATATTTGGCCGCTATACTTATTCAAAATTCTTTCATTTTCAAGAATATTTTAGCTTTTGTGTTTGCTGCTATGTTCAGGGCTAATGATCAGAGAGTTGACATTTTGTATGTTTTATATGATAGGGTGTTCCTATAGCGTTGTCAGGAAGGGATATAATTGGTATAGCAAAGACTGGTAGTGGTAAAACAGCAGCTTTTCTCTGGCCTCTCCTTGTACATATAATGGCACAGGTAAGTCACATCACTTCAAACCACTTGCCTCTCACCGCTGTGCGTTCGAATCCTGACAGGAACTTTGGATTCTTTCATGTGAGGAAGCTATCCAGCTAGCTTACGGAACGTCGGTGGTTCTACTCAGGTCCCCGTTCGTGCCTGAAATAATGCAGAGAAGGGCACCTGAGGTCTTCCTCCACCAAATGACCTGACCTAAATTACTATGTCGGTGTGACGTAAAACCCAAACAAGCAAACATCAGAATGTTAAGACAACTTTAAGATGAGACAATAGGTGTGATTTATCAAATTCATATTTTTTTTAAGCAATATATCAATAGGAAAATTACAAAGTTTTAACTTTGAAAACAATAAATCTCTGACAATGAAAGTGGTATCTCTTTGTCAGCTGAAGAACGCGAAAAAAGAAACTTGTACAACAAAATCACTGAAATAAGATTCGCTAAAATTAGATTGCTTAGTTACAAAATTTGCTGTACACGAAAATAACTTGATATACGATACATGTATATAATAAAAAAAAAACAACAACAATTTGTAAATGTAATGGATGGATACTGCCTAAACGTGATTTGGTATAATTTATGTGTTAATTGAAGGTGATACACATAATGCATTCATCTATAAGAACTGGGATAAATGGTTCATGGGTGGCTTAATCATAAAAAAATCATTGGCTGTTATCCACTTGAACATTAACTTTGTAATTGAGTCTAGCTAATGAATCTAAATTCCAACATGTAAGTAAGGTGTCCAATAAGCTAACAGAAGCTTACAGAAGCTAAAATGGTTTTGCAAGGATGCTTTTTTTTAGGGCTTTTTGTACTTGTACGTACATCTTTAAAGTTGTCATAATGTTTTAAAAGTAAAAGAAAATTTCGTTCATTTTTTATTTTGCATTTTTCGTTTCAAAGGTGTCATTCTGTACTTCATGCAATACTTCCGTTTTCATTCGAAACATCTTGATGATTTATCTAAAGCCAATAAGTTGCAATTGTTCAATTACTGGATTACCCCAGTGATTATCATTGAGTTACATTAAAAATGGAGGCGCTCAAGTAAATATTACACTAAAAATTTCTCTCATTGGTATAGAATTCTATATATTTCTTAATTGTTCCTTTTAAATATACATGCATAGTCTATCACCGGGCAAACCAAAGCCCAGGCCTGCTTTGCTAACCGGCATTTGACTTCCTCAAATAAATTTAGATTTTATTTAGTGACCGAACGTGGGCACAAGAAAGCGACTCATAACATCATTTTTCTATGTTAACAGTAACAATTTATTGACATTTAAATATACATTTTTCTGTCAACAGAGGGAGCTAGAGCAAGGGGATGGTCCCATTGGTTTAATTTTAGCACCTACAAGAGAATTGTCTCAACAGGTAATGTGTTTATTATCTTTACAATAAATCAGAAAGTCTGTCTTTTATACACATTTCCTTCAATTGTGTACATGTATGTCTGTGTTAGAGTTTGATATCTGTCTCCTTGAGTGATATTTTGATTGCAAATACATGTCTGTTTGGGAACAAAACTTCCTAGGCCCAACTTCCTAAAATTTATAAAAGGCATTACTATATTGTTTCCATAAACTTTCAGTCAAATCTCAAAATGTCTTAAAATAGAATATCTCTGATATCTATTACACATGAATGTTGTAAAATAAACTGAATTATATGTACAAAATATTATGCAGCTATTTTAGGTAAGATTTTTAACCGTTTAGCAATGATTGTTTGCATGTGTCATAATCTCTTATGGAAATATACAAACATATTTTTTTCATTCAGGTATTTTGAAATTATTCTTGTTAAAAATTCTTTATCAAAATTCGAACAATAATTTTGTAAAGAATAGCCTGCAGATATATAGTTTTATATACATGTTCTTTAATAAACTGAACATTAGAATGGTGTGCCAAACTTCCATAAAATATCGACAATCTACCAATGTGCAAAAACTTTCCTTCAAAATGATGTAACTTAATTTTAACTAAAGATAATTATACATGTTTTTATAAGTGAACTTCTTACCTTTTTAGATTTATCATGAATGTAAAAAGTTTGGCAAGGTATACAACATTAAAACAGTGTGTGCGTATGGAGGTGGGAGTATGTGGGAACAGCAGAAAGCTTGTCAGGAGGGAGCAGAAATTATAGTAGCTACACCTGTAAGTCTGATTTATTCACAATATTAATTTTTGTAGTCAACAAGTCACTTTCAAAAAAATTTGTAATTATTGGTTATTTTTTTCCCCCAGGAGTTCTGGTTAGGCTGACTGCCTGCTGGAATATGATGAAAAATGTATTAATATATGCATTATGACCAAAATAAACATAATTTATGACTTTTTACATGATATAAATAGAAGACAGTTGTTGAATGAATGTGTAAAACTGTTTTCACTATTTTATATTTCAGGGAAGATTAATTGATCTGGTTAAAAAGAAAGCCACAAATTTAAAAAGAGTTACATACCTTGTGTATGATGAAGCCGACAGAATGTTTGATATGGGATTTGGTAAGTGATTTGACTGTACTGATTTATGATAATGATTTATTACTAACTAAATTTAACCACATATGAGACATCTCTTAATAATCCTTTGGAGGTTTATATATGCCTCAGAGTAATAATTTGTAAACTATTGTCCATAACTGTAATCGTTAGAGTCAAACTATTTGAAGTTAAACTTAGAGCTGCATGCCTCCAGATGAGCGAAAATATTTCAAGAAATCAAACTTAAATTTTAAGAAAAGTAAATACAAGGTTCAATGAATAAATGTGTGTGTTATGTGTGATTAATGACTGATTTATCAGTATTTATCACCATATGTCTACTGTGTGACTAAATACAGTAAGGGCTATTTTTGCATATTTTTACCTCTTTTTGGTAATTTGCATGGATTGTAAGTGCTGATTGCACTGTGTAAATTACTTTCTTTCCTCACTATAAATATTTGATTCTTAAATGTATTTTCAAAATGTTCATGAAAATTAGCATCTTGAGACATGCTGCTTAAATGAGATTACCATTAAATGTTTTCATTTTGAATGCAACTGGTAATTTGTAAAAATGAATTTACATAGCAAATGTTTGAATTTTTCAGAGCCTCAAGTACATTCAATAGCAAACCATGTTAGGCCAGACAGACAAAGTAAGTACTTTCTTGTATGAAGATTCCTTTGAAAGATTCATGATTAAGCATTATAAGTTCAATTATTCGAAGAATAGGGAGAGATATTGTAATCAACCAGGCATTGGTGTCAGCATCATACTTAGGTGAAGTTTTGTTTGGCAAATTGGTATCCACAAAACAATTAAAGCGAATGGGTTGAAAATTCACACACTTATTTGAGCGCATAATAGGAGGTCACTATCCAAGGCATATAACTCTAGCATGGATTCTAACAGAATTATAGCCCTTTTTGAACTTAGAAAATTGTATATTATCCATGCTCTTGTTTTACTAGAGCACACTTTTGCTGACAGCTTTTGTTAAGATATATATGCAATGTTGTAAAGGAAAGTGACACATATTATACTATGCTGATAAATACATTATATCTACATTAATAAAAATGGCTTCGTATCCCTTTTGTTAATGGATAGATCAGGGAATATCTAGATTTTATCCTTCTTGTCTGTCTTCAGACATCTTTAATCTTGTATGGAGCCTTTATACTTTTTCACAACATATATAATAGATGAAAGATCTTCAATTTGAGTTACTGAAATGTGGTCATTAAAAATTAAATACCACAAATAACCTTTACACAAAAATTTACCACAAAATCAGAAAAAAATGCCCTATACTATGTAATCATGGTTTTAGTTGAAGTTATAAATCATTAAAATTTTAGAATTAAGTAAATGTAAAATTTAAGTAAAAAAAATGAAAACTGCAGTTTTTACGTCGTGTTATTTTTTGTTTTCAGCTTTACTGTTTAGTGCAACATTTAGGAAGAAAGTTGAGAAATTAGCTCGAGATATTTTAGCTGATCCAATCCGGGTAGTTCAAGGAGAGGCTGGGGTGGTAAGTATAGATAATAAAAGTAAACAATTCTCTGTTTACTGTACCATTGTAGTAAATCTTTTGTTAAGTTTTCATTCACCATTTTTACCTTTTCTTTCATTCTGTAAATGATATGAAAATGTATATAGCCTATACTTGTTTTGGAGAATGAAAGAATAATAAAAAATATTCTTTATTACAGATTTTTATTGAAACAGTAACTTATATTTTTGTATAATCACAATAGGCACAATTTATTTTGTCAAACAAATGGCAGGGTTGATCCCCCACTTTTTCAAAAAGCAGCAAAAATTTTTGTCACTGATTTTGAATTACTGCTATTAAGAAAAAAACTGTTTCTTTGAAGAAAACCGCAGCAGAAAGTGCATTGTCATGTATTAGATATATTGGAAAATTTGGTTAAAGCCTGCCTACATGCCAATTTTATTATAGATTGTTAAAGTGTCTTTTATAACACAGAAGTCTTGAGTTTGAATCCTGTAAGGAACTTTGGATTCTTTCATATGAGCAAGCTATCCAGCTAGCTTACAGAACGTCAACGGTTCTACTTAGTTGCCGGCTCATACCTGAAATTATGCACAGAATGACACCTGAGGTCTTCCACCACAAGTAAAGCTGGGAAGTTTTCATATGATATAAGCTATACAGAGTTGGTGTGACTTTAAACCCAACCTAAAAAATAAACACACACAGTCATACAAAAAACGAAACAAACTGTTATCATATTATCATGTCGTACTATCATGTTAAGTTTGGTTGTAGTCATGTCTGCTGCTTTTAACATTGCATGCTTATATATATATCAGGCTAATGAAGATGTTACGCAGATTGTTGAGGTTTTACCCCCTGGTCCTGCCAAGTGGACATGGTTGGTCAAACGTCTAGTAGAAATGACCACATGTAAGTATAAAAACATGCATTCATTCAAAATCAATCTGGTCAATATATAAGAAAACACTAAGTAATTCTGCTGACTGGTCTAGTAAATAAATATTTTATAATATCCAAGTAACGTAATTGTATAGATTGCAGAGATACATGTAGATGTAATACATTGTATTATACAATTGGTACAATGGACCTTTCAAGTGATAATAGGTTTAGGCAAATTTACAGACTGGTTATCCATTTGCTACACTGGGATAATATATAGTCACTTCTTGATCCATTTTACATAAAAGAACACATGGCATTGTTTGTGATACTGTTTGTAAGCAGTTGACCTGGCCATGAATAAAAAAGGCAGGGCTTAACTTTTCACTGTACTACTGTATTACATCACATCAAATTTTTATTACACTAAGTGTAATATCGTATTATTGAAGGGTTTTATTACACTCATTCTGTGGTTCTTGTCAAAAAAATCATTTTGTATTTTGCATCTTGATTTTCTTTGTTTTGCAGTAGGAAGTGTTCTTATATTTGTAACAAGAAAACTCAACTCGGAAGAACTTGCAACAAATCTCAAAAGTCGTGACTTTAAAGGTGAGTTATTCACTAACCATATGTTGTTATACATTGACACCTGATAAAACAGTTTTAAAGATTGTTACAATTGTCTCTGCTTATTTCAAAACCAAAATCATAAAAAAACTGAATCATTTCAGAAAGAATGTATAACTGTTGAAAATGACATACATTTTCATGTAATAGGCAATTTTAAACTGGCAGAATTTCTAATATACTTGTCAAGCTTTCTAATTGGAACTTTTATAACTTTAGTAATTTTATGTGTTATGATATGAAAATGCTTTCAAACAATGTGCCTCTCATGGCTGTAGATTTGATCCATATCAGCATATTGGATTCTTCATGCGTGAAAATTATCCAGCTGGCTTTAAGGAAGTCAGTGCTTCTACTGAAGTGTCTGTTTGTGCCTGAAATAATGTACAGCATACAGAGGGGCACCTGAGGTCTTCCTCCACCAGTAAAGCTGGAAAATTGCCATATGACCTATACTGTATTGGTGCGACATCATCAGTTTAGAGATTGATCAAACTGCACAGATTTGCAAAATTAGTTAGTCTGTTTGATAGAAGATTTATGGCCAAATATGTAGATAAACATATAGAAAAATCAGCCCATATTTTTGCACAAAATCTGCAAAACTCTTGTAAAAATTCTTGGTTTTTTTTTTGTTTATTTGGGGCATGTTGTTAATAGCTATTGCTTGTGATTCTGGGATATTTTCAGTTGGCCTAATGCATGGTGACATGAGTCAGATGGAAAGAAATGAAGTTATCACAGCTTTTAAGAAAAAAGAATTTCCCATACTAGTAGCTACTGATGTTGCAGGTTTGTACAAACATAGTTTTGATTCCTTTTGCCCCTTCTGAAGTAGTTAAGTATAGTTGTGATTTCTTTTGCCCATCAGAAGATGTTAATTTTATATATTTGTCTGTTTGTTGTACCAGTTGATGATTTTATATATATATATATATAACAATCTAGAGAAAGAGTGAAACCTCAGAAGTATTTAATCACAACAAAATTACATGAAAATTGCGGACTTCGTTTGATTGAGTACATGAGGGATAATGAATAAGTGCAACATTCCTTACGCCCCCTAGCACTGACTTGTGCCATATGCAATTTTCATCACTTAAAAGTGCTTTTATTTATTATATACCTATAAATTTATCTGGTGAAATACAGTGATTTTCGACTGTAAATATTAAAATCTGTATCTGTCATCAATCCTTTGTATTCGCTGACTAGCCTGTTTTATATGTGAACAAAATTACTTGTGTGTATCATGTCCATACATTTTTGTTTTTCATTTTTGTTTTTTGTGGAACCTTAGTATGAATATTGATTGCATAATGTTGTATACCCTCTCATCTTATAGGCTTGCGAGAGTACAACTTTACACGATCAACACATGTAATACAAAAAAAAAATCAAAATAGGGCATTCATGTATCCAACTCAGTGGTTTCAAATAGATATTTGTTGTAGAATTAAAACTATAATTTTGCACATTGTAGAAAAATTCAGAATAAATATTCAGAAGATATTTGCCTATCAGTATAAAAGCATTGTAAAACTGTTGCCAGGCGACATAGAAGCATGATTTAAAGACTGGATGATATGAGTTTATGTTGAACAGCCCAAAAACAAAAGAATAGATGTAGTTTAAAATCATTTATTTAAATGAAACTATGTATTATATTTACTAATAGAATCAGGTTATAATTATTTTGTGCTTTTATCTACATTCATGTTCACAAATGTTTGTTAAAGAAACTTCACTGAGGTCCAAAAGCCTAAAAATATACAATATTAATTCCTCACAAAGATCAGCTGGAACATTTAAAACAGAAAGATATGCAAAAGATAATGAAAAAATATATTTGAAAGCTAATTGATAATTGTACTTTTTTGCTATTCTTAGCCTGAGTGAAAAGCATTGCAATGCTTTTCAATTTCGGGTCATTTTCCACAAATAGAATAATTATTCCAGGAAACAGAGTGAGCAATTTTAGAAAAATAGAGTGAGCGTATAATTTGAAATTTTGCACACAAGTAATTGATCTAGACCCACATGAAATAGAACATCAATCTCAAACACATGAAAAAGTTATTTCCAGTCCTGTCATGTCAAAAATTCGCAGTGGACTCCCTTTAAAGGTAGGTTTCTTAGTAACAAATAATGAAAATGTTTTCAGACTTAAACAATGACTTTATGGTAATATGATATCTGTTTTGTACAATACACTGAGGTTTTCTTTTCTCTTTTTCAGCTAGAGGATTAGATATTCCATCTATAAAAACTGTAGTGAACTATGACGTTGCCAGGGATATTGACACTCACACTCACAGAGTTGGTAGAACTGGTCGTGCAGGTAATCTTTTAATTAACATCATTGGCTTTGTGGCCTGAAATAAGAGATAATGGTGAATGATACATTAAAATTGGTGAAAATGGTAAAAAACACATACTGATTAGGGGAAATGGTAAATTGCACAAATAGTTATAATGATTGGGAAAAAATGGTGAATTACAAATAATGATTATGGAATATGGTGATTTACACACAAAAAAATCATACTGATTGGGGAAATTGGTAAATTACATTTAATGTATAATGGGGAAATGGTGAATTACACATAAAGATTAGGAAAAATGGTGAATTACACATAATGATTGGGAAAATGATTGGGAAAAATGGAAATAACTATTCAGATTGATTTATGTTGTAGGAGAGAAAGGTTTTGCCTTTACACTGATCACAGAGAAAGATAAAGAGTTTGCAGGTGCCCTGGTGAGAAATCTTGAAGCAGCCAATCAGCATGTACCTCAACCTCTCCTTGACCTTGCTTTACAGGTACATAATAATAATAATGATTTATAAATACACATACTTCCAACTTGATAAATTGATGTTATTAAAATGAAATCAAGTCTTGTTTCAAAATACTTACTACATAATATTGATTATTGATGTTTTGATAGATTACAAATTTCAGATGATTTTACAGACTTATTGTAGAAAAACTAGAGTACTTGTTTATTTTTTCAAGTGAAATTTATGCTGAATAACATTATAATGAACAATAATTTCATTAAAAGCTCTTATCCTTTACAGTCTTGTAAATTTTCTTACATATTTAATTGGACTGTGGCCATGTGTGCAAGGCTGATAGAGTCAAACTACTTACCCCTCTCTGGTGTGGGTTCGGTTTTTTTCTTTACACATATATAAATATTTTCAAGGTTGTTATGCTGTTTAATTTTTCAGTGTCCAAGATTTAGACAAACTAGATTTAAAAATCAAGGTCGTGGAAAGAAACCATTGGCTGTAATAGGGGCTTCTTCTGGACAGAAAGAACGACCAGGACTTGGTGCAGAATCTGTAAGTAAACAATTAGGCAATTGTTTGAAGGGGGAATGAACTTCTAATTTATATATGCAGCAGGTTAACTGTGATCTGGCACATTTCTTTAACAGAAATGTAATATCTATAGATCAGATGCTTGAAATCTTTGCAATTACAAAATGTATTAAGAAAATTAATGAAATTGCAATTTTTAGCTCGACTATTCGATAAGAATAAGTAGAGCTATTGTAGTCACCCGAACATCGGCGTTGGCGTCGGCGTAACCACTTATTAGCTCGACTATTCGATAAGAATAAGTAGAGCTATTGCAGTCACCCGAGCGTCGGCGTCGGCGTAACCACTTATGTTAAAGTTTTTGTAATAGTTCAAATATTTTCAAAGTCCATTGACATATGGCTTTGAAACTTTGCACACTTGTTCACCATCATGACCCCAACCTGTAGACAGGAGGAGGTAACTCTATCAAGCATTTTGACAGAATTATGCCCCTTTTTCGACTTAGAATTTACGTTAAAGTTTTTGTAATAGTTCAAATATTTTCAAAGTCCATTAACATATGGCTTTGAAACTTTGCACACTTGTTCACCATCATGACCCCAACCTGTAGACAGGAGGAGGTAACTCTATCAAGCATTTTGACAGAATTATGCCCCTTTTTCGACTTAGAATTTACGTTAAAGTTTTTGTAATAGTTCAAATATTTTCAAAGTCCATAGACATATGGCTTTGAAACTTTGCACACTTGTTCAACATCATGACCCCAACCTGTAGACAGCAGGAGGTAACTCTATTAAGCATTTTGACAGAATTATGCCCCTTTTTCGACTTAGAATTTACGTTAAAGTTTTTGTAATAGTTCAAATATTTTCAAAGTCCATTGACATATGGCTTTGAAACTTTGCACACTTGTTCAACATCATGACCCCAACCTGTAAACAGGAGGAGGTAACTCTATCAAGCATTTTGACAGAATTATGCCCCTTTTTCGACTTAGAATTTACGTTAAAGTTTTTGTAATAGTTCAAATATTTTCAAAGTCCATTGACATATGGCTTTGAAACTTTGCACACTTGTTCACCATCATGACCCCAACCTGTAAACAGAAGGAGGTAACTGTATCAGGCATTTTTTTTACTATCAAGCACTAAGAATAGTCGAGCATGCTGTCCTACCGACAGCTCTTGTGTTAAAGTTTTTGTAATAGTTTAAATATTTCCAAAGTCCATTGGCATATGGCTTTGAAACTTTTCACACTTGTTCACCATCATTACCCCAACATGTAGGCAGGAGGAGGTAACTCTATCAAGCATTTTGACAGAATTATGCCCCTTTTTCCACTTAGAATTTACGTTAAAGTTTTTGTAATACCTCAAATATTTTCAAAGTCCATTGACATATGGCTTTGAAACTTTGCACACTTGTTCACCATCATGACCCCCACCTGTAGACAGGAGGAGGTAACTCTATCAAGCATTTTGACAGAATTATGCCCCTTTTTCGACTTAGAATTTATGTTAAAGTTTTTGTAATACCTCAAATATTTTCAAAGTCCATTGACATATGGCTTTGAAACTTTGCACACTTGTTCACCATCATGACCCCAAACTGTAGACAGGAGGTGGTAACTCTATCAAGCATTTTGACAGATTTATGCCCCTTTTTCGACTTAGAATTTATGTTAAAATTTTTGTAATACCTCAAATATTTTCAAAGTTCATTGACATATGGCTTTGAAACTTTGCACACTTGTTCACCATCATGACCCCAACATGTAGACAGGAGGAGGTAACTCTATCAAGCATTTTGACAGAATTATGCCCCTTTTTCAACTTAGAATTTACCTCAAATATTTTCAAAATTGATTGACATAAGGCTTTGAAACATGTTGAAATTTTATACTCTTTTTGAGAGTATAATAGGACTTTCTCCAAGGCCTATAACTGTAATATGGATTTAAAGAACAATTTTGCCTTTTTCTTTACTTAGAAAATTTTACCTTTTAATCAAGGCTTTTTAGCTCACCTGTCACAAAGTGACAGGGTGAGCTTTTGTGATCGCTTTTCGTCCGGCGTCCGTCCGTCGTCCGTCCGTCGTCCGTCCGTCCGTAAACTTTTGCTTTAAATGACATCTCCTCATAAACCACTGAGCCAATTTCATCCAAATTTCACAGGAATGTTCCTTTGGTGGTCACCTTTAAAAATTGTTCAAAGAATTTAATTCCATGCAGAACTCTGGTTGCCATGGCAACCAAAAGAAAAAAACTTTAAATATCTTCTTTTAAAAAACCATAAGAGCTAGAGCTTAGATATTTGGCATGAAACATCTTCTAGTGAGTGTCTACCAAGTTTGTTCAAATAAAAGACCTGGGGTCAAAATTGGCCCCGCCCCTGGGGGTCATTGATTTTCCCTATATGCATATAGTAAAAACTTAAAAAATCTTCTTTGAAAGAACCGTAAGAGCTAGAGCTTAGATATTTGGCATGAAACATCTTCTAGTGAATGTCTACCAAGTTTGTTCAAATAAAAGCCCTGGGGTCAAAATTGGCCCTGACCCAGGGGGTCATTGATTTTCCCAATATGCATATAGTAAAAACTTAAAAAATCTTCTTTTAAAGAACCCAAAGAGCTAGAGCTAAGATATTAAGCATGAAACATCTTCTAGTGAGTGTCTACCAAGTTTGTTCAAATTAAAGCCCTGGGGTCAAAATTGGCCCCGCCCCGGGGGTCATTGATTTTCCTTATATGTGTATAGCAAAAACTTAAAAATCTTCTTTGAATAAACCCAAATAGCTAGAGTTTAGATATTAAGCATGAAACATCTTCTAGTGAGTGTCTACCAAGTTTGTTCAATTAAAATCCCTGGGGTTAAATTTGGCCCCGCCCCAGGTGGTCTTTGATTTTCCCTTTATGCATATAGTAAAAAATTAAAAAATCTTCTTTTAAAGAACCACAAGAGCTAGAGCTAGGATATTTAGCGTGAAACATCTTCTATTGAGTGTCTACCAAGTTTGTTCAAATAAAAGCCCTAGGGTCAAAATTGGCCCCGCCCCAGGGGGTCATTGATTTTCCCTATATGCATATCGTAAAAACAAAACAAATTCTTCTTTTAAAGAACTCAAAGAGCTAGACCTAAGATATTTAGCATGAAACATGTTCTAATGGGTGTCTACCAAGTATGTTCAAATAAAAGCCCTGGGGTCAAAACTGGCCCCGCCCGGGGGGGGGGGGGGGGGTCAATGATTTTCCTTATATGTGTATAGCAAAAACTTAAAAATCTTCTTTGGAAAAACCCAAATAGCTAGAGTTTAGATATTAAGCATGAAACATCTTTTAGTAAATATCTACAAAGTTTGTTCAAATAAACACCCGGGGGTCAAAACTGGCCCTGCCCCAGGGGTGACATTGTTTTTAACTATATGTGTATAGTAAAAACTTTAAAAATCTTCTTTTAAAAAAGCCAATGAGCTAGAACTTAGATGTTTAGCATGAAACATCTTCTTATGGGTGTCTACCAAGTCTGTTCAAATAAACAAATAAAAGCCCTTGGGTAAAAATTGGCCCGGGGGTGGGGGGCCTATATACAGGTGAGCGACCTCAGGGCCATCATGGCCCTCTTGTTTTACTATCAAGCACTAGAATAGTCGAGCGTTGCTGTCCTACCGACAGCTCTTGTTTATTTCATTTGTTGATTATAATTAATTCAATAAAGAGACAGTTTGTGGAATATTTGTAGTACTGGTATGTTTTTATGCCCCCGGGCATATAGTGATTGAACCGTCCGTCCGTCCGTCTGTCTGTCCGTATGAGGTTAACCTAGAACGGCAAGTTGGATTTTTCTTAAGTTCTACCTGTACCAATGGCTTCTAAGTTTACACACTTACTAATCAATACAAAGTACACAATCTGGGCAAGTTTCATAACTCTGGCTTTCATATTTACCAAGTTATTGCCCTTTTCAGCACTTAGAAAATGAATAATGGTTAACCTAAAACGGCAAGTTGGAAATATCTTAAGTTCTATCTATACTAATGGCTTTATAATTTCCACACTTACTTATCAATACAAAGCACATGATATTGCCAAGTTATATAACTGTGTCATCCATATTTCCCAGTTATTTCCCTTTTTTCACTTTGAAAATAGGGCCTTGTCTGGTTAACCTATTTCGGCAAGTTGGATTTATCTTAAATTTCTCCTAATTGCTTAATTTCTTTACTGATATCTTTCATATTTAGTAGGTGGATACCTTTGATGGTCCTCTAATTTTTTTTAGAGTAAGCGGTCTCTAGGGTCAAGGTCAAGGTCACTGGTTTAAAAAATAAATATAAACCTTTTTGCTCATACAGCCTTTATTTTTTAGTTGATGTCTTAGTTTAATACAAACACCTCCTTCTTTGGGTGTAGTATGGGGTCATTTGGGTCAAGGTCAATGTTACCAATGTCAAGGTCACCAATGTTAAAAATAGATTTTTACATTTTTACAGGTGTATTGACCTTATTCTATAGACAGATGTTATTTATAATTGATAGAAACATAAACTTTGATGGAGTTAGTGGTCAGTTGGGTCAAGGTCACCAGTGCTAAAAATAGATTTTTACACAATTGCTCATACAGCCTTTATTAAGTGACAGATAAATTTTATATTTGGTAGGAAGATAACTTGCATGGTATTCATCCTTTTGATTGGGGTAGGGATCAGTGGGTCAAGGTCACTTGTGCTAAAAAATAGATTTTTTACACTTTTGCCCATACAGCTTTGATTATTGACAGTTGTTATATTTGGTAGGAAGATAACTTGCATGGTATTCTTCCTTTGGATGGAGTTAGGCGTCAGTTGGGTCAAGGTCACAAGTGCTAAAAAATAGATTTTTTACACTTTTGCCCATACAGCCTTTATTTATTGACAGATGTATTTCGTATTTGGTAGGAAGGTAACTTACATGGATAGAGTTAGGGGTCAGGTTTGGTCAAGGTCACCAGTGCTCAAAATAGATTTTTACACTTTTGCCATACA